ACTGCAGGATCCCTGATTCCTTTGCTCACACTTGACACTTTCCCAGACAAAGCAACAAGAAAAGGAAAGTCCAGCTGTGCCTGGCCGTGACACGTAAAAGTAAGGAACCAACAAGTCATTCTTCCGCCAACCCAAGCCATACAATCCATTCTATAAAAGAACCAGGAACTGCACAGTGTAATCTGATTTTCTTCATTTGTTTGCACTTGCCACACAAGTATGCATCGCTGGTATTTTGTGTATCCTCAGCAACCTCTCAGTATTGAGACAACAGTTGCTAGCTGTGGTTTGCTTCTGAAGTGCTAACAGACAAACAGAGCAATGAGGCTGGTGTGGAGCAGAGTCAGGAGGGACTGCCGGCAGCAGGGAGAAAAATACAGTGCTTCATCATGAAAGGAATACTTCATGGAGAGAGCTTCCTTGTATTAATTGCAACAGTTGGGAGAATGTCCAGCTAACCTGTCTCTGACAATACAAAGTCATTCTTGCAAAGCTTGACCAGGAATGTGCTCCAGCAGCAGACAGCAATAAGCAGTGTCTTGTACTCAGCTCAGGAGAACTTTATATGTCTGACCTGATTATATTATTTCCTGATGCTACTGTCTGTTCCTTAAACATCTTCCTGAATGAGAAGCTGAGCTCAGCATAAGTTCTAGTGCACAGGTAGTAGTGTGATTCTCACCAGGACAACTGTTCATCCTGGACTGATGCATGCTCTTTTCATGCATGAACTTCAGCTCACCTGTACAGATGTGGCAAGGAGCAGAATACTGGCCCCAGAGCATCTTTCATAGAACCTTGCTTGGTTTGGCTAAGAATACTTTCCATAGCCCTGTAACTGTACGTGGGCTGCTGCAAAAGGTGAATGATCGTTTTGGTTTCCAAAACATTTTCCACTGGCAGTAATCACGAGCTTTCCTCCTTATGTCTATTTTCTGATCCTGGGAAATGCACTGGGAGGAACAAGGAGTAGCTGTGAGCATTATGGCTGAGAAGGAACAAAGACAGTGAATGGGTCTCAGACCACCAGAAATGAATTTCCAAGAGAGTAAATCACCTTGTTGCTAAGTCACCACAACTCCTGAATAAGTGCTAGAGGAAAAATACCTTGGGCAAAGGAGGAAATCAGAGCAGAGCAGGGAGACCTGCACTTGAGTTCTCCTGGTTTCAAGAGAGAGGAGAGACACTAGTATGCAAGGGAAGCCTTGTCAAGTTCTTCCCCAGGTAATGCCATGATTTTTATCCCTTGGTCATACAAAAGATGTACGTCACTCCCTCCTGAGCAGCAATTTGGGGCAAAACAAGTAGTTTGCCTGGTCGGGGATGATTTCTTTCAGGGCCTACACCCCACGGGAGCCATGTCAGGTTGGGTCAACATTGCTTCAAAATTATTCTAGGGGACCTTGTGCCATTGCAGTTCTCTTGTGCCATCCCTTTCTGCCCCACTGCACTCAACACAAGAGGAACGCCGAGCGTCCTGAGTGTTATTTGCCTTTCCCTCCTGAGTGAAGGCACAGGGGTGAGAAGTGCGACCTGAGCACCAGAGACCATGGATCTACTTTGCCTGGGCCTCACCACGTCTCGCTCCTGTGAGCATCTCTTGGTGGCAGAACAAGGTGAGGCAGTTCAGCACAGTCACAAGCTTACATCATGCTGACAAAGATCACGGTTTGCCACAGCACACAAGTGGGAATAGCCCCGGATTTGCTCTGGAAGGCTCTCCCAGAGATCGTGGCGTGGCACAGCTCCCAGGAGCTGGTAGCAGCTCCCATCCCACCATCCCTGCCTCCTCCACAGCCAGGGATGTGGGAGTGGCATTCCCCGGGGCCATGGCATTCTTGCTGCAGTTCCCCACACTGGCTGGCTGACTGTCTCCCCGCTGATCTCCTTTTTAGGGTGCGTGGGAGGGAGATGTGCTTACACGACACTCACGGGACGGCAGCGGGAGGCTTTCGGCAGCAGGGAGACGGGAGGTCACAGCAGGGACATGGCATTGCAGGTAGGAAACCATTCCGCATCCTCCCACTCCTTCCCGTCTCACGTCATGCCCTGGCCAGGGGCAGCTCGAGGAGCAGGTCCGTGTCTCTTGTCTGGAGACAAACCCAGTGTAATTGGGTGATACTTCCACTGATCGGCCGCGTTCCTGCTGGGAACAGGGTTGTGCAACAGTGAGGACTGGTGTGAAAAGCCCCTCCTGACACACATCCATACCTGACCTTGCTCACGGCGAAGCCCTCCCACAGCTGTGGTGCATGAGGGAGGACACACATCCTGTTCCACAGCGGTGGTGCTGGCGGTGCTGGCACGCCAAGCTGAGCCCCAGTACCCTGCCTTCCCTCCAGCCCTGCTCTTCTCAAAGACAGCAATTGTAACCAGCAACACGTTGGTGTCCATGGGGTGAGAAGTCTCTACACCAGCAGCACGTTTTGCTCTCACCCCTCCCCTGGTTGGCTCAGAAGCACACGTTGCATGTTTTTCTCATACAGCCCCAAGTGCTGGAGGGTATGGATGGTCACAGGGACAGTGGGGAAACCACAACCAAGAAGGGGCCAGAACCCAACAGCCATGGCACTGGGGTGACAGCAACATAAGGGAAGGACAAAATGACAACCAGGGATGCTGTGACCAAGACCAGAAGTGCTTGGTGAGCAGCTGCAGCCTGTCCATGCTGTGTAAATGGGAGACTCCAGGTGAGCGAGTAAAACACTGAGCAGGAAGGAGATGGCAATATGGTGAGGAGCAAATATCACACATTGCTTCCCGCTCTGCTCCCAGCTGAAGGGCATGCTGTGCTCTGTCTTTCTAAAGGGAATCTCACAGGATTGAATCTTGTAGATAAAACATTTAACCACACTGCACCAAAAGCACTTTGCAAACTCAGTCATGGAATTATGGAATCATTTGAGTTGGAATGGACCCTTAAAGGTCAACTAGTCCACCAAAAAGTGTGAAATGGCCTTTGAATGCTCTTTTTTTTTTTTTCTCCAAACTTGCTGCAAGTTTAAAAACTAAAACCAACAGCCACTGTTTGGTGTAGATAAGGAATGAATAAAGACACTACATGCAAAGTAGCTCCCAAGATGAACAAAATATACCTGCAGTACCATCCCTTTGCATGCTGCTTCATCCTTACCATATATATGATTCAGCTTATTTATCCTCATGTGTATCATGCACAAGCTTGCAGACAGAACAAAAAGTACTCCGGGAAGAAAAGACAAGGCAGCAGCATGCAGGTGGACTGCCCCGATGACAGGATGTTCCTTCCTCCTCTCAGGGATCTCTAACTCCATCTGTGCTTTTTCTTCTCCTAAAACATCTCTGAGTTCCCATGTGTTTACAGTAAAACATTTCCCCCCTATAGAGGCTGTTAAACTCATGAAGGGAGCTGGCTGGTGATCGCTGCAGACTTTTCTCTCATTGATACCAACTTGTCAGGGGTCACAGGTAGGAGCAGCAGGGCACTGAAGGGAGCAGCACGAGGCATTTGGAGAGCACCAGGATGGACAGACAGACAGCCAAGCAGGGCTGCCCCTTCCTGCCAAACCCAGTGCAGCGTGGTGGGACCTCCATGAAAGGCGTGCTTCAGATGTGCATTCAGTATTTATGGGCACTCGCGATGAAGGGAATGTTAATTTCCAAGTGTTAGTTCTAATTTTGTAATACTGTGCCCTAGAATAAACATCTGGGATCCTAGCAAACACAACATTGCATCTCTACACGGCACTTCCACAGAACTATGGGTTCTCGTGCTGCTGCTCCCAGGAGCACATTCTTGCCCTTTGGAAAAAAAAATGTATGTGACTAATGGAGCTACAGTGAAATCAGCTCTGGATGCTTTAAAAATAGATGATAACACTTCTCCTCCTTTTAAAGCCTGAATGAAAACAAACGTTGAATTAGAGAAGAAAACAAAGTCAGCAACTTGTCCGAGGTCACAAAGGACTGGCAAGGCCTTTGCCATGGATTGCAGCACGCATCCCTCGGTGCTTCGGCAGCTCTCTGTCCCCTCTCCCTAAACCAACCCGAAGGCTTTCAGCATTTCCTGCTCCTGCCTGCATACTTTGTGACACACACAGGGCTGCACCAGAAGGTATTACTAATGTATCCTCTGATAAGAAGGCTTCTAACAGTGTTATCAAAACTAAAGTGATAAGGTTGAATTTTTATGGGCTATTCCTCTGCAAGTGACTGGAGTGCAGCAGGCAGGTTGGGATACAAGCAACTACTTTCATCGTTCAGATGTCATTTTCTAGTAACAAAACTCTGAAACATTTTTGATGTGGGAGATAGAAGGAACCAAAACTTAATGCTCTCTCACTGAAAACAGAAAAGAAAAATCCACACTGAGGGAAAAAGAAGTTTCCACACGCATCAGCATGTGCGAACGTTTCAGTTTTGAGGAGACAATGCTTCTGTAGGAAAACTTTCCCATTTCAAAGCTTTGGCTTGGCCCTGAGGGCCCCATCTCCATCATCTCCATCATCTCCATCATCTCCATCATCTCCATCATCTCCATCATCTCCATCATCTCCATCATCTCCATCATCTCCATCATCTCTTGCAGTGTGGCACACAGGGACCCTCTGAGAGCAGCAGGAGCTGCTGCAGGAGCGTCCTTGCCTGAAGCACGCTGTGCAGCACCCTTCTCTCTGAGATAGCAGCTATCAGCAGGGCAGGATGACATGCCATTTTCACATTTCCCCACGTGCAATGGGTTCCCAGCTTTCCTCCTTCCAAGCAGAGGGCGCAGACTCCTGTGAGAGCATAGTGATGAAGGTATTGCTCTCTGGACCTGACCCTTGGCTGCGTGCTGCAAAAGGTGCACGGAACCAACCCGGAGCATCCTGTTAACACTTGAGAACTAACCCGTACATCAGGGTCCAGGACCCCTCCTGGGTGCTCCTCGCCTTCCCTGCAGCACTTCCCTTTCCTCTGCATGCCGCGCTGAAACCGTGCCACGGCCGCTCGCCCTCGTGCTCCCCCTTCGCTTCTCACTTTCCCTCCCATTGGTTTCACGTTCCCTTCGCCACGCGGAAAAGCTTTCAAGCTCATCCAGCCCGGCAGCAGAGTTTATCCTGGTTCCACCCACTGGGACTTTCCTAGCTTCCTCCTGCACGGCGAGGGGAAAAAAAGGCAGAGGCAGACAGCAGGCATCCCGGGGAGCTCGGGGAGCCGCGGTGCTCCCTTCCCTGAGCTAGGTTTCTATTGTAGGCGGTGCATTCCTCGGGAGGGAGGGTGTGTGTGTGTGTCGGTGCCTTCCCACACTCCGGGCAGCTCTTATTTAATGGGGGTCTCCATGCAGGGCAGAAAGCAGAGGAGGTTTAGCCATTGCCAGGCTCAGCGGCAGCTCGTAAGCCAATTGCCGGCATGGATCACAGGGCTGAAATAACCCTGGAGGAGGCTTCGGCGACCGGCCAAGCCTCCAGGATGCGCATCAGGGAGGACCTGAGGAGGATGCGCTGCGCCGTGCTGCTCTGCCTGCTGGCCGTGCTGCTGCTGGCGCTGCCCATCGCATACCTGCTGGCTGGGAACCTGCGAGCACCCACCTCCTGCCCCCAGGTAAGGCGCTGCCGTATCTCCACCTGTGGAAGTTCTACCTCTCCCCTTGTAGTTGTGTTTTGTTGTGTTTTTTTTTTTTTTTTTTTTTTTTTTTTCTCCAAATTTTCTGGGTCTGGTTCTCTCTTTGAGTTTCTTGTGTTTAAGGGCAGGAGAGAAGCACGCTGTTACGTGCTGTCATCCTCGTGCAGAGCCAGTCTGCTGAGGTTATAGCTGATTTTTGCTCAGCCCCTGCTCCTCTTGTCTTTATTTCACTCTGCTCACAGTACAAGATATGCCTTTAAAACTTTTGCTGGCATGCTGCTTGAAATTCTGAAGGGGAATCTCTATTTGGTTGAAATCTGTGTCTCTCCACTGATCTCAGACAGATTTTGATACTCATTTTCCTCCCTCCTTTCAGATGAGCTCTGAGACTTCCCCTCCCATGTCCTATTTCAGCAAGCATCTGCTGACCAAACGCTGATGTCAATGGCTCAGTGCCCATCATACATCACCCAGCAGACAGCAGCAGCTCTCACATGTTATTAAAGTACAGCCCTGCACAGATACCATCTGGGACAACTATGGGGCCTGACCCTAAATTTCCCACTGTGGGATTTGCTCCCTATCAAAACTTTCTCTACATCTGGGGAAGTTCTCATCTCTTTGATAGGACAGCTGAGCTCTCTTTGCTCCTGGGCTGGTGAAGATGGTCACCACTAAAGCTCTTCTGTGCTGCCCTACTCCTGCCTGCAAGTGCTTCTTTCCATTCTATCCTATGAATCTATCAGGACTGCCCTGTGTTAGAAGAGCACACACATACAGCTCTGAAGAATGAAGGTTTGAAGGAATGTTAGCTGCAGGTCTGAAATTCTGCACTCAATTAGTCTGCTCGTCACTTAGGAACAGCAGAAGACAGCAGTGTTAATAAGTGGCCTCGAGGGTAAATTTTGGATGCAGCAACCATTTTGCTTGTGTGTATTTAGACAGTCTGACAGCCGTGCCCGCAGCTCTGTGCCTCAGCTTGTTTGGCTGCATAGAAAAGCTCTGGCCCTGCTTTGAACCTGAGTTTATACCCAAGCAGAGGCAGCTCCTGGTGCAGCATCTTCCACGTTAACTTTGCACCCAGCTGGCAGGAGGTGCAACACCCTGGCACCTCAGATTGCTAAACATGCTGATTTCTTGCATGTGTGGAAGTGCTTACTGCTGTGCTGACCCTCCTGCTGTTTATGGAGTGGGTGCATGCAGTGAGAAGGCATTTGGGGGGCTGTCTCTTTCCTCTTGCTGTTCCCTCCCTCTGAGGTTCCAAGCAGAACAGTTCAATTCCTGAGATGACCTTAAAGAGAATTAGTAATAGAACGAATTAACGATAGAATGCAAGCTGTTAGGTAGAATAGTGCATTCCTTGTTCCTATTCTGCTGGCACAGTCAATAGAGAAAAGTGTTTGTGTCAGGGTCTGTTTTTTTTTTTAAGAGGAAAAGAGCAATGTAAGCCATTAAGTTTGCTCTAGCCTATACATGCCCTTCACAAGCATGTACTTCTATGCACATGCACTGAATTAGAGTGTAATAATCCCACGGTGATGCAATGAGGTGATCAGTTGCTTTGCAACCTTTGCACGTCCCACTGAGGCAGGAAAAGCACCAGGGCTGGCTGTGTGCCCATGGTACCAGTGCTAAGCTGGGTGGGGGTGTGCCTGGCAGCACTGTGCTGCATTTGCTGAGCTTTTCATTCATTCCTCCAAACTCTGAGTGTGTCACCAGCTTTGTCCAGCAGCAGAGTGCATTGGGAGGGGGGTGTTGCTTGCTTGCTGTTCACCCCTCTGAGCTCAGCATGTCTGCAGCACAGCTGGATCCAGAGGAGAGGTTCTGAGTATACAGGCTCTCAGGACCAGGTCTTTTTGTGTTTCCAGCTGCATTTATACAATTAGAATTGTGTTGCTGGAGGATGCCTTCACATGTCTCATTAATGAAGAACTTAGCTGGGAGAAGGCATGTCTTGCATTGTGGTCACAACAAGCCCAGGTAACCCTACAGGCTTTGGGATGAGTGGCTGGAAAGCTGCCTGATGGAAAGGGACCTTGGTGTATGGATGGACAGTCGGCTGAATGTGAGCAGCAGTGTGCTCAGGTGGCCAAGAAGGCCAATGGCATCCTGGCTTGGATCAGGGATGGTGTGGTGAGCAGGACTGGGGGAGTCATCTTGCCCCTGTTCTCAGCATTGCTGAGGCCTCACCTCGAGTACTGTGTTCAGTTTGGGGCACCTCAGTACAGAAATGACACTGAGGCACTGGAGCAGGTCCAAAGAAGGGCAGCAAGGCTTGTGGAGAGCTTGGAGAATACGGCCCTACGAGGAGAGACTGAAGGAACTGGGGCCATCTTGCTGTCTTTAAATGTCCGAAAGGAGATTGCAGCAAGAGCAGGGTTGGTCTCTTCTCACTTGTGACAGGTGACAGGATGAGGGTAAACTGCCTCAAGTTGCACCAGGGAGGTTTAGGTTGGGTATAAGGAAAATATTATTTACATGAAGGGTTTTTAAGCAGTGGAATGGGCTGCCCAGGGAGGTGGTTGAGTCAGCATCCTTGAGTGTGTTCAAAAACCATCTGGATGTGGTGCTCAGGGCCATGATTTAGTGGTGGGCTGTCAGAGTTAGGCTAGCACGATTACGATGTGGTTGGACTTGACGATCTTTAGCATCTTATCCAACCTGAGCAATTCTGTGGCTCTATGTGTTCGGAAGCCCTCACAGCAGTGCTTTTGGGCTGTGGGTGCCCTGGGCACACTGGAAGCAGGTGGGCTGGCCCTGCTTTGCAGCTGACATGAGTTTGCTCACTGACCCTTGCAGCAGTGAGCTCACAGCAGGAGTACCACAGGACCAGAGCTCAGCCCATGCAGGATTATCTTTTTCCACTGCACTCTGGCCAGTTCTGGGCCACAGCTCCAGCACCAACTGGGAGGAACTGGTGCAGCCAAACGGGTGAGAAGCACGTAGTAAATCCCTGAACCCATCCTTCCTGGAGCAAGGAGGAGGGGGAGGGTTGTGCAAGCGGGGTGTGCCTCTGTGGCTGCAGGGTGAGACGGTTGTTCAACTCAGCTTCTGTGTGGGTGCCCGTGGTGTCACGCTCTCCTCAGAAGGGACATAAGCTCACCTTTTCCTCAGGAAATGCCCCTTTTAGGGAAGAGCAGTTATGTCATCACAGCAACACGTGCGAACCACCGGTTCTCTTTCTTGTGGTGAGCTGCGTCTTGTGTGAGTAACTGAGGCTTGATGATGGGTTCCCTGGACACCTTCCAGGTTCACACGCGGCTTCCCTGCTGGAAGTAGAAATCACTTTCTTTTGTACTTCAAGACAAAGCGAGGTGAGGAAATAGGGTTCTCTAAGCACTGACACAGTTTGGGCTATTAGCAGGAAATCATAAAAGGCTGCGGGGCATCCTTCCCAGAAGGAAAGCCAAGTTTTAATCTGAATGCGCAAATGAAGGGAAGCCAGGCAAGCATCTCCATCCATCCCAGCAACTCACTCCATTTGTAAAGCTGAAAGTCAAGGCCTGCCCTGCAGATATTGGTACCTGGGCTTGTGCTGCTGGGAACCTTAGCGTGGCAGGACGACAAGCAGGGCACAAGGGAGGTTCAGTGTGAAACCAGACAAAAAATTTGCACGTGTACCTGTGTGCCATGTCAGCCTTGAGACACGAGAGGAGCCAGGAGAAGCTCAGCCTGGGTTTCCATCCTATAGTCCAAAAGGATGAAGCAGCAAATATCAGAATAAGATTGGCAGAGCTGTAACCCATGCAGAGCCAGATGCCCTCATGGCCTGCCCGAGTGGGAAGAAGAAGCCCAAGGAGGTGGTGGAGTTACCATCCCATGAGGTTTTCAAGAAGAGGGTATATGTCACAGTGAGGGATGTGAGTAGTGGGCATGGGCTGATCTTTGGACTAGTTAATATTAATGGTCTTCTCCAGCCATAATGACTGTGATTCAAAATGACTTCTTGATCCGTAGGGATGTAGAGGTGCTGGGGGAGAAGCAGGGAGCCTTGAGCCATGTCCTGGGTGTGGGAGACTCTTCCAAAAGCCATAAAACTGTTCTTTGATGCTTATGGTTCTCACAGGCAGAACAGCCAGTATATGCCACAGCCCAGGCAAAATGCATCCAGCATTAAGGACAGCTTTTGCCAAAAATCCAGGCCATGCAGCGCCCCTGGGCTGAGGAAAACCAAGTGCAAGCACCATGTGTGCCCTGCAGAGACCTGCCACGAGACTGCACCTTGTGCTAAAAATGGAGCTGGGGATGTTTGGCTCATGAATCCCCCCACCTCCACTGCCAGCCTGTTTTTCCCAGGCAGTTCTCCTGGACAAACCCAGCCCTTCCTTGAGGTGCAAAGGGGATGTTTTGTGTTTGCCCTCCTCCTGGGCTGTAGATGTAAATGCGGCAGGACTTTGGGTAGTAGTGGAGTTTTGCATACTGCAGCTTTCAGGGTTACCATAGGTGCTGGAGATGCCCTTTGCTCAGCTGTAGGGCGGGATTTTCAAAGTTGCTCAATGCTGCTTACATTTTCTCTGCTGTAACCAAAGGGAAAACTGTGGCCACTTGGTGAACTTTACAGAAGCACAGCTAAGCAAGAAAGGAGAATAGAGAAAAATGCTAATTGTGTGGTTTCTCTACTGCCTTGTGCTGCTTGGCTCTCCCTCACCCCTCCTCATCCTGAAAGCTCTTTATGCACGTCATCCACACCCCTAGTGTACATCAGCAGCACAAGCATTGCTAACATCAGGCTATTGTGTAGCCTTTTTAAGTACTAAAATGTTTTCTGTTTAAACTGAGGTTTGTGTCCTTATCAAACAGCACAAATAGGAAAAAAAAACTCCACCTTTGCCAAGCAAAGAACACATTCACACCATGCAGCACAGCTCTTCAGCACTGCTGCTCTTCAGGGCACAGAAGTGCAGCTGCTGCTCGAGGAGCATCCATCTGGCATTCTTTGGAAACAAGTGAATGGAGGTTGCATAAAAAGCTTCTTTACCGCTGGCAGACAAAACCGTTTTGATGTCTTTGACTGAGCAGTGAGGTCCTTCCCTCTTCCCTCTCACCTCTGCTTTTATTTCAACACCTGAGTGTACATAAGATACGTGAAGTTAGGCTTTAAGCAAACAGCTCAGCTGAAGTTACATGGTTAAGTGTTGTGATTTGTGATTGATTTGTGGCTCTTTGTGGCACTTAGCATTGTTTGAAAGTACACTACTTGATAAATATGTCACAGGGATGCACAGCCAGCATCTCACAGCTCCTTTCTTCCCCCCTGCAGCCACACTGCTTTCCAAGCTGCTGGAGGAGGGCTGGAGCTACAGGAGCATGGCAGGGTGTGAGCTGGAAGCAGCCTGTCAGCATAGCATGCAGCCAGCAGCCCCTTCTTTTTGCTGCTCAACCCAAAGGCTGGCACTGCTTGGCACAGGCGCTGTCACTGTGGGATGTGCTCATGCTTAGTGCTGGAGGAAGTTTAAGGTGCAAACAAATGTGAAATAAGTCTATCTTGCCCACAATTCAAGACATTCCTAAGCAGTAGACTTGCAGCCTGAAATAATGCAGGTGTAGAAAAAGAAGCTGCAGGTCTGTAGATGACACACCTCTTTACTGGTGTTTCAAATGCACCATGCAGATGTTTGAAGCAGAGAAGAGCATCTCGTGCTGTGCTGCTTGCTCCATTTCACTGCACAGATGGAGACAGCAGCCACCAGGCAGCAGTGCTCCAGCAGTGCTATGCAGAGGCACTGGCCCAGGAGCGATGGCTCCTTCCCTCAGTTCTCCCCAAGGGAGAGGGGTGCAGGGCTTTGTCCAACCCACGAGCTGAGCACAGCCACTACAACAGCCCAGCTCCTGCCCCAACACCTGCCTGAGATGTGGGTGGCTTTAAACAAGCAGCAAGAAACTTGCACTGAAGCAAAGCTCTGTCAGGGCTTGTCCTTTTACATAAAAGCTTTAACTGAGGAGGAGGAGGAGGAGGGTATCAGAGTACCATCTCCTGTTCTGGGGGGTAAGCAAACTGGATGTGGTGCAGGAGCCCTGGAGCTAACTGCTTGCACATCTCTCTTGCAGGTCGTGGACGAGAGGAGCTCTCACTTTCTGAAGCAGCGGGCAGTAGCTGCTGGTAAGTGTGCCAGCCCTTTTCCCATCCCCATCATCTTTGTTTGTCAAGGTTTTGCAATTGCTGACGCAGCCCCTGGGCCAGACAGCTCCCTGCCTGCCCTCACCACGAGGATCCAAGCATGTCAGGGCAGGGTCACGGGATGTGGGAAGATGGGTACAGCTGGGGCCATAGTGAGGGGTGAGCATTCCCAACCCCAGACAGGGCCAACTCCATCCCAGGGTGGGCTCACACCTCCCAGCATTTCGCTGGGACCCATATATCTCCCTTATGGGCCAAAGTGTGGATTTGGGAGCCTGTGAGTTCATCCCTCACACCTTCCTTCCACACACTTAAACTTTTTTTCTCTTTTTCCCCGCAGTTACAGACACACTTCCCAGTGCCGAGAAGCCAAGAGCACACCTGACAGGTAATGCTTGTTCCAAACCAGTGTTTCCTTTGGGTCTCACAGATGTTGCAGTGCAATAACCAAGGTTTATAGGGTCTGATAGAATCAAGCTGCAAGATGCAGTGGAAGAAGTCACCAGCTTTGTCTCATTGACCACAGCAGTGATTATAGGAAAGGGCCCACAGAGGAGGCAGCTGGCAAACATTGCCACTTCCCTGGGCTGTTGCTGTCATTGTGTGAGCACTTGGGTTCCTGTAACTGAGCTTCAGTGCTGCCTGTCATGTTAGTGATCTGCTGGGTCTGCTGAGAACATTGGTGGAAGAGCCCAAGTGAGCTGTGAGTTAGAAAGATCTGTCAGTTCTGGAGTAAAATAAGACCAAATAAGGCCGGTTTTGGGGTGCTTATATTTTCTGCAAGTGCAACCTGAAGCCACGCACACCACATTCCCATCAATAGCTTCCTGGTTTTGGTGAGGTCACACGTAACGTGCGTTGGAGCAACCAAGGGAAGAGCTGTATGCAGCTGAACCTCTCAGCTTGTGTTGGCTAGGAAGATGCCAGCTCAGAACATCACCACCTCAGCATCAAAGCTGGGGCTGTCAGCACATTGAAGGGAACTTAGGGAATATTACCTGAAGAAAAAAGATTTGTAGTTTCCTGAGTGGATGGGACTGAGAGCTGAGGAGCTCTCCAGCTGCTCTGGACTCCCCCCTTATGTCCACTAAGATAATTTATACCTCCCCAAAATATAGCTCACTTGCAGAGGCTTCCCCAGTAGCCTGTGTGTTGTCCCAGAGGAGCTCTGTAGTAACTTGAAGCGTGCAAGAAGTTACACGAGGCTTAACACGTGTATGCGTGGGGTTATCAGAGCTTCAGGGCTGATTTGTCAACCACTATAGTTTGTTTACTTTCCCTAACCCCAAGCTCCTTCTTAATGCACTCCTATGTCCCAACCCTTTCTACACACAGGTGGATAGAACTGCAAAATGGATCTGTGCTTGCTCAAAATACATAAAATCACAGAACCATGGAATATCCTGAGTTGGAAGGAACCCACAGGGATCACTGAGCTCAACCCAGCTCCACACAGGACCCCCCAACCCCCAGCCCTATGGCTGAGAGCAGTTTCCCAGTGCTCCCTGAGCTCCAGGGCTGTGCTCACTGCCCTCTAGGGCACAGCCATTCCCCATCCCCACTGGGCCATCCGCTGACAGCTCCATGCTGTTCCCTCAGGTCTGCAGAAGAAGGACCTTGGCTGCTAATGTAGGTCCCTTTGTTTCCCAAATCTCCACATGACCAAGACCCAGAGGCTCTCAGTGCAGCTGACTCACAATTGCAACCCAAGTGTTTCTCTGCTGATGGGAACTTCCCTGGGTTGCACAAAAGTCCAACTGTCACAGGGAAGCACCCAACAGTTTGCTTTAAGTTTTCTCGGGCCTCTGTTTGAAACTCCTCCACCATCACTCCCAAGCAGTGCCCTGGGCTGGGGCCTGTCCGCCTCCTGCCTCAGCCCCATCAATGCTATCTGGGAGAAGGAAAAAGCAAGGGGAATTTTCTCACTTCTTATCTGTGCATAACAGAGTCGAGAGCCTGAGCTGAAGGCTGCAACTAGGCTGCTGTGCCACCGAGCCACCAGGAAACCAGGCTTCTGTGAACTTGGCTTTAAGCTTTCTTGTTGTGTTCAAGCACTTCTCTTTTGCTTTTCTGCACCCTGCAGCAATGATTTCCTGAGCTCAATGCAGAAGTCTTTGGCGTTGTTCTAAACTTGTTGTATAGTGATTTCCTGGGTGTCCTTCTGGTCTTCACTTCTCTGAAACCACGACTTGGGCAGAGAAAGTGAAAAAGGAATAATTATTCTTCAGATCTTTTGTGCATTCCCCCACTTCAGGTGCCTGGTTCACTGTGCAGATAGCAGGCTAGGTGCCTTTCCTCATGGCAGATCTTCTCCAGAGCTCCAGCTGCCCCTCTCTCCTTCTGGGTTTAGGAACGTATGTTTTAAATGTAAAAGCAGAGTGAGAGGAATGAGAACTAACCAGAGTGTTTAACACGGGAATGCACCACTGAATTAGCAGTAGCAGGATGACTCAATGTTCGGGTCTCTGTTCCTTTTCTCCACCTGTCCTTGGCCTCTGGAAAATACACAGAGCAGTTTGGACTCATCCATACCGACACCAAGACCTCCTCTCCCTGTCTGCCGCTGAAGAACAGTCAGTGTGAACCCCAGCTGGGGCTTTTCTCCACCCTCACTGTTTCCCATGCAGTAGTTCAGATTTGGTGCTGACCACCACCATCCCTGTGGCCATTATGGAGCTGTGCTTCAGGTCAGGAGGTAGACCTGTGCCTGCATGAGATGGCATGGCACAGTTGGATGAAGTGTGTAACAGAGACCCAACCAAAGACCTGTCCAGCACTTGCTGTGCTGTGATGCTATCTGAACACCTCACTAAATCTGGGTAGAAAATAACTTCCTGGCTCCACTTGGCAGTTTGGCAGCCTCTCCTATGAGAAAATGTTGAGGGAACTGGGCTTGTTTAGCTTGGAGGGAGCGTATAAACAGGAGGGGGAATGGCTGTTTATGAGGGTGGATAGTGATAGGACAAGTAAGGGGGAATGATTTTAAACTGAGACAGGGGAGGTTGAGGTTGGATATTAGGAGGAAGTTTTTCCCCCAGAGGGTGGTGAGGCACTGGCACAGGTTGCCCAAGGAGGCTGTGGATGCCCCATCCCTGCAGGCATTCAAGGCCAGGCTGGATGTGGCTCTGGGCAGCCTGGGCTGCTGTTGGTGACCTGCACACAGCAGGGGTTGGAACTGATGAGCACTGTGCTCCTTTGCAACCCAGGCCATTCTGTGATCGTATGATTTTGTGGTTTTAAGATTAATTGTTAAATTTCTTGAAAAACAGAAACTCTGCAGCCTCTGTGCTTTGCAACTTGTGCAGCATGAGACCAGAGCTGTGTAAGAGTCCAAGGCCCTCATCTCCTCCCTAAGGTATAGCTCAGTGTCACCAGTGAGGGCCATGAACCGTAGAAACCCAAGTTCACCAGCATGCCACCAATGCAACCAAGTGACAGGGATTGCCCAGCAAGTGGCTAAACCAAAAGGGATTTTAGGAAAAGAGAAGAAATTTTACATCTGAGAGATGCACAAAAAAATGAAAGTGAAAGGGAAACTTGAAGGAACTGCAGCATTAAATCCCATAGTGAAAGCAGATTTTATTTACTTCAGAGATTAGCATAAGATGTGCATCTGCAGGAAGTGCAGCTCCATATACTTAAGAAGTAAATGAATGACAAGTACAGCTGTGCTGGAAAAGGAGCCATACAATATTCAGAGGCACTTCAACATGCATCTTTCCTGATATATCTCTAAAGCATGGGGAAATTTGACCAGCCTGAAAATGGAGAGCATCAACCAAGTGAGTTTTAACCTAAAAGGAAGGTTAGAGCCATAAAACTTAGAATTGCCTCATTCCAGAAGTTATGAAATAATGTGTTTCATATGAGAGGCTTCATAGTTATTAAAAACACTGCAGAATTGAGTGTTGCTGACATCTTAAATGCGTCATTGGATATGTAGAAAAAGAACATTTCTCCTGAACCTTCTCCTCAATTTTTTCCCTAACTACCCAAGATGGAAGAGAGCCCAGAACTCTTTCAGGAAATGTTATAATCTTTCCTTATCTTCCTCTGCCACCACCCTATCTCAGAGAGGCCTTACTCCTTAGCCACAGTGACCCCAGTGCCGTGTTAGTTTTTGCCGGGTCCCAAAGCAGACAAGGACAGACCATGAGTGCTTTTGCTTTATTTCCTCCTCTCTTTCTATAGCAGCAAAGCTCTGTTTCCTCTAAGTCTCATATTCTTTATAATGCTTTTATATTTTAGCTTGGCTTGCTATCACAGTCCCCGTCTATCGTCTTCCAGCAAAGAAATACTCCATGTGCTTTGCCTTCTGGGAAAAGATAGAGGGATTTAATTTTTCCGAGCACTGACAGGCAGGCTGGGAAAAAAGCCATTATTTTGTTGTGCTACTGAGAGAATATGCAAGAAATTGCACTTCTAACAGCAGCTTGTTTTCCTACGAGTTATCTATTGTCAGAAAACAGGAGAAAAAGGACGGCACTGGGGGCTGAGGGTATTTGTTTTCCTGAATCTCATTTCCCCCAGGATAAACCTAACAGCCGTTGCCAAGAGCATTTCTAAGCTCATCCCCACCCGCCTTCAGTTTGCTTCCCTGCCTGTGCACACACACCCTATCCCCAAATGCTGAATCATAACTGACCTTAAGCATTAACTTAAGCTCATGAAAGCCGCTCCCCGGTTCTTCCCCCCCCTGTCCTGAGCATCCTGATCCTCTGCTTAGATCAGGCTGTGCTGGGGGTGGATTGGAGCTCTGTGTGTCGTCGGTGAACCACGAGAGCGTTTCTGTTTGTTGGTTGTTCTGTCTGAAGTAAAGCTGAAGTTAGCACCGAGCTTAGTGTTCTGTCCCAAACGTTTTCAAAACAGAGTTAAAAATGGGTTTTATTACAGCGTGTCACTTTGGAAGTGGGTGCTTTAAAGCACAGTGGGGTTTTCCAGCTCTATGGTGAAATCAAAGGACTGCAGTTGTGTAGCAGAAGATTTCAATGCAGCACCCAGCAGCAAACCCCATTGTTAGCCTCCAGAAGTAACCTGGCAGGAAGAATTCAATGTTTTCAGTGCTCAGTGGTAGATCACAATGATTGTAGTGAAGCTTCTGCAAGCAAACAGAGCCTGATGTTCTCAGTTAGTAGTAGTAGTTAGCTCTACTATGGCACAAACACAGCTTCAGTCCGTCAGTGCTCATGAAGACACTGCTCTCGTGTCTCTGACTGCTGTCCTGAGCCATTAGGTGCAGGCACGTATCCAGCTGTACAACTGGCCCAGCACTGCTTTCACTTAAGAACAAAGTTTATGCTTTGCAAATGGGTGAGAGCACTCCAGACCTATGAGCAAAAGCCCTGTGTCCTACCCCACAGTGAGACAGCCTTAGGGATGGACAGTCCCATCATTTGGGATGCCCTGTCACCCAGGATACCCAGCTGTAACCGAGCCCTGTGGGCAGCATGCTCCAACCAAGGTCTTCCAACTTTGGTTGGACTCCTCTTGGTTCTCAGATCTGGACATCTTATGGGCAGCCTCCAAAAGTAGCTCTTGACAGTTCGCCTGCAGCTGACTGACTGTAAAGGAAAAACATTTCTCTCCTGGAGTTTTGATTGCCCTGTGGAGGAAACATCCTGTATTTCTCCAGCTGGAACAAACTAACACATCTCTTCTCCCTCTTTCTTCCGCAGTGAAGAAACAAGATCCCTCCAGTGCCACGGGAAGACATATGCCCATCCTGCAGTGGGAAGACAAGCGAGGCTTGGCCTTTACCAAGAACAACCTGAGTTATTCCAGCAAAGCACTGGTGATACCTGTGTCGGGGGATTACTATGTCTATGCCCAGGTCACTTTCCGAGGGCCCAGTGACACTTCAAGTAAAACCAATTCTGTCACTGCAGTCATCACCAAAGTCACTGACAGCTATCCCGAGCCCACCCAGCTGCTGACCAGCAGCAAGACCCTCGGTGAAGAAAGGAACAACTGGTTCCAGCCCATTTATCTGGGAGCTGTGGTTTCCTTAGAGATAGGAGACAAGCTAATGGTCAACGTTAGTGACATCAAGCTGGTGGATTACACTAAGGAGCACAAAACCTTCTTCGGTGCCTTTTTATTGTAGGTCTCTGGCAGCAGCTTTGTGGAAGCCTCCCTTAAGGGCCCTGGTTTGGTGGTTGCATGTTGGGGAGCTGGTCTCTGTGCTGTCCTCTGTGCTTCACTCACCTGCTGCCTTAAATTATGGGGTGGAGAGAGCTGGAGCTGCAGGATGAATGGAAGCAGCCCAAAAAACTCCAGAAAAATGAAAGTCAGACTTAAAAGATGATGGGGATTCTTGAAAGCTCTGTATATTGGAGAGGAACCTTTTTTTATGGGTTGGGTAGGGATATTTATCGTAAATAGGCTAGGCTGCACCACTAATTCCTTTTCCAGTACATCATTTCTTCAACTGAAAAGAAGTGTTTTAAACTGTCTCCAGCACTTCCAGTATAATTTTGCATCATCTTTCTTCAGATTCTTAAAGGCAATTACAATTAATAATTTCCTTAAACACAGTTCAGTGCTTTGCACTAATATAAAGCCCAGATTAATCATTAACTGCTCAATTAATCACTTCCAGTTTCCCTGTAAAGTAGATTAAAATTATATCACGTGTTTTGCAGAAGCTACCTGATTTTCTTTTATTTTCCAGGATACCATTTACAGATATTTAAGTCAATGTATAGGCTTTAGCTTTTATTTAAAACTTCTAGGGAGCGTGCAGAAACATTTTCATTTCAGCATGACCGTGGAATCTCCCCTCCAGATCCAAACATTAGGAAAGCAGAAAAAAAAAAAACAACCAAAAAAAAAGAATCAGGGAGATACGCAGAAACATCCTCCACACTTTCCAAAACCAATCACAGAAATTTAAAAAAAAGAAAAAGAAAAAAGAAAATTGCTCTGCAACATTTTGCTTTCCACCGCGCATCATGCAAAGCAAATGCAACTAAAGACACCAGTGCCCTCCTAATGCTTTGCAACCACTGCTACTACAGCAATCTGCTGACACAGAGATCTCCCCATCCTTTGCCTGGGTGCAGGCTGACGATCAGTAGTCCATGCAAAAGGTTGGAGGATCCAAAGAGAAGCTCACAGTGTGCCATGGCCAGCTACAGAGCTTGGGAACGCTTAGCTTCCCATCTCGTGCTTCTTTTTCTCATAGACATTACTATCTCAGGGAAATTCCCCAGCTCCCCTTCTCCTCCCACAGTAAATACATCACTGTCAGTGAGTCAAGTCATGCTCTTCTATGTTCAGGCTTTACACACTGAACTGCTTGGTGGTCTCTCACTTGAGTCCCTACCAGGCAGCTGTTTGGCAGGGTCTGTCCAGTGGCCAGGCTGCACTCTCTGCAACTCTCCCTCTTTCTTACCTTTCCCCATTGGGCTCCTTTCTTCTTGGCCTGAAGTGTCGCCAAGATGGCCTAGCTAACATTTCCACCCAGGAACATGGGCCCCAGCAGCATGCTGTTAGCACCAAGGAGGTGCCCAGCACCCAGTCTGTCCTCATTACTCTCCAGGAAGGGCAGCTCACCATCACCACCTCAGCAGGGCTTTTCCCACTGCTTAAGAAGCCCCAGCTTTTCTCTTTGCACCAGTATGGTAAAATCACAAGTCCAGGAAAAGTTTATTCCTCTGGGAAACCCTAAGACTTTCCATTTTTTTAGATTTTAGATTTGAGTCCTTCAGAGCTTCTGATCCCTTCGTTTTGTGCCCAAATCTGGATCTGCGTTCTTGCAGACCTCCGTAGAAAGGCACATAGGTGACCAGCACACCAAAATTCATTGTTTATCTCACAGAGAGAAGACTTAAAGTGACCTGTCCAGGACAGGGGATTCTCAGCCACTAGTTAAAAAAGCTTCTGTGAAGTTAACAGGACAAATTTGGTTTATCCTTGGAGAAAATTGAAATGCAAATTCTAGCTTTACTGAGATATTTACAGAAATCCAGAAAGGTCTTTATTTCTACAAATGAGATTATGTAACACTCTTATGAGGCCATAATGCAGGCTTGTAGAACAGATTCCATAAATCCTGTATTTTAAGTTGTCATCCCTTACTGCTTGTTGCACTGAATTATGTTTAATATGGGTTCTAGGGGAGAGGAGTCATGCATGCAGTATTTGGCTCACAGAGAAAGAACCTTCTAGGGATACATAAATGTACATACATAGATTTTCTGTACATATTTATGCATACTCTACGTACAAGTTTTAGGAAGTGCTTTGGCAATGATGAGCCTTTTGCTATAACAAGACATAATTTGTGCCTGCTGTACACTGACAACAAATTCCACAAGCATCTCCTGCTGCTGTAACAGATACAGATGTGACTGTCTTGTTCCACTGGCCATAGCACAAGTGTATTTATTTTAGTTCATGCCTTGCAAGCTGTCCCACCCCATCTCATACACCGGCTTCTAGCACATTTAGCACGCCAGCACAATTTACAGAGCATAAAGTAACATATCTAGCATTACTTGTTTTAAAGTAGTGCAGGCAGATTGATCCAAGCACAGCCACCCCAGTGGAAATTTCTATTTCTCCCCTTTTTTCCCCCTCTTAGTGCTAATAACGCTTCTGTAACAGTGACCAACAGGGAGCACCCAGGGCTGGCTGTGACCCCACTGACTGCAGAAGCCCATGGTACGGTGTTGGGGTAAAGCTGCTTAAGGGGAATAGAGGTCAGGCTCAGAGGGAAGGGTCTCAGGCAGGTGATCAGATTTTCCCAAAGCTAATTGAGGACGGAAGCGTTCTCGGAAAAATCACCGTTATTGGGTTAGGAAAAAAAAGTTTATTTAATGTAAATCATTTGTGGAGGTGTGAAGATGCCCATAGGTCAGCATTTTCAGTTGGACGAGGTGACGAAATGGGGCCTTGTGAACAAGTGACCTTTCAGCCTGCGGTCAGGCTGAAAACGCGTTTTGTTTTGGGTGGATGTGAAACTGAGACAGCTGGAAGAAGCTCTCCTAGAGGAAGAGCTTCAAGAAGGCAGCTTATGTTCACGAGCTAAAAATAATGGTAGGGTTTCTGGATTTGGCTCTTTCATCTCTCGGAAAAGACATTTAAGAACTGCTCAGTACAAAAAACATTGAAAGAAGCTGTTTCAGGTCTTGTTGGCTTTGTTGTTGTATATTTTTTTACGAATATTTATTAACAAAAGACTTCTGTTCTTAGGAATTCTTTTCTTCTCTGATTTCTTTGATCTCCAAAATCTAACGCTAAATATAACCCAAATTCCTAATGCAGTTCACTTACCTACTGCTTCCTTTCCCCTTAAGGTCTATATGTTAGTAAATGAGCATTCTCTCTGTATCAATAAGTAAATCTAACTCAAGCTACAAGAGATTACAATTCCAATCTTACCAACATACATGCATGCCTTGCTTAGTCTTAAGCTTGTGGGTAAAAATAATGCCATTGTAAAAGGCAGCTCAGTTTCCCTTCTTGGTGTACAGGAGTAAAGCCAATTAAAAGTTGATTGGTAGAATGTTTTAGCCATGTTTACCCTGAACAACACCATTACATGGGTAGCCTCTCAATAAGGAGAACTCACACGGGCCACCTTCAGCCCATGTGTGTTGGCAGGATTGGGGTCTAGAGGTGGAAATTTAAGGTCGGGTTTCTGAGTCAAACATCACCCGAATAGCATCAAGTAGGCTGGTGGGAAGATTTTGGATGTGCCAGTTTGGTGAGTGTTAGTCTGAGCCATTCCTCAGAAGGAAGGGACACGGCCAGGCTACACTAACCAAAAGGAATGGGTGAAAGTATTGTCATTTCCAACACACACAAAACGTATTTTGAGAGAACGTCGTTGCTCAACTCCATGCGATCCAACTGACTGCACTGCGTTTTGCTTTTATTAATCTCTTGAGTGGCCCATCATTTCAGATGGGAAATGAGGAGAAAATTCATTCTTTAGAAGAATCAGACAGTGTCATGAATTTTTGCCCAAATCTGGGTGTTAAACGCCAGTATAGCATTTTGCTACTGTAATGTATTTTCATATAAATGATTGTGTACTGTTTTGTGCTTCAGTACCGGTGTGAACCTTCAACAGCAGAACTGACTTTAGAGTTTTGTTTCCAAGTGTTATGATAATAAAAATGCAAGTTAACTAATTTAAAAGCTTCTGAGCCTGGTCTCCATCTAAAAACACTAACGAAATCACACGCAAGAGCAATCTGCTCACACAGCCAGAGAAACCTCCTCTGCTGTGCATCAATCATCTTTGCTTCCAGACACACACGGTGAGCGATCCCCTACCAGAGTGAACTCAGACACGGCCCTTTTTCTTTGCCATGGGGTATGTAGGGCTCCCATTTCAAAAGAAAAAATGTGAAGGTTGAGCAATGCCCCGCTGAGCACACGAGGGAGATGAGGATATTCTTCCAGCCAACTTTGAATATCATCACCTGATCAAAGAGCCATGCTTTCCCTACCTCTACGTGAGAGCACCTCGGCAGCTTGGGAACTGAGTGTGTCCGATTGCTTTCCACTAGCAGAACCCAGAAACCTTCTCCCATTTTCTTTCCTATTTGCAATATTGTTGATACATCCCAGGATTGAACCGCAAGTGCCGTTTTTAAATTGTTTTAGAAGAGATTTCTGGTTAAGGGCCACGTGCTCTGGCTGAAGGGAGGTTTTTGCCTGCAAACTCAGAGGGAGGAATCACGTTCAGGCACATTTACCCTGGCTTTCACCCACACTCACATACCTGAGATGTTTTGTTAGGCTGTGAGTGGCAGCATCCTCAGATCAGCCAGAAGTTAACTAAGCAGTAAGCATCAGACTTTCTCCTGTGGAACATCCACATCAAAGAAGATTTTTTTATTATTATTTTAATACAATAGTTATCTCAAGTTAAAAGCTTTTTATTATTATTGAGATATTTGTTAACAGCAGCAGCTGCCTGCAGCAGATACACAGCATTGCACTTAAGCTGCTCAAGTACTTGCTGCCTGAGTAGAACATAGGGCAGCTATGTACGTAGACTTTTAAGTGCCACTCCATTGTGATCTTGATGGAAGGAAGAACCTTACCTTCAAATGATGAATTTGCTACACCATTAAGTTCTTCCTGGAGAGCAAGACATTACCCATGGTGGTTTAACTTCCTGAGATGCCCAACCACCAGCTGAAACTATTTGTTCATGCACAAAGTTCATGCCAGCTTTGTTCATGTACAAAGTTCCCTTTTCCAGGCTGGGTACATGTTCTGTATCACAGTACTTCCAGCTTTTGGGGAGATCACTGAGTTCACTCTGGCAGGGTTTGGAGACTTTGTCTCTTCAGCACCTCGCAGGATGGAGCACAAAGTGGAGGCAGTCTGCATCCCCAGGAACAGCATGGGTTATATACACTTTCCAGCTCATCAATGAGCAGCTGAATGAGGGCTGTGTTCTCTAGCACACTCAGCTGTTGTCAGACAGGTTCTCGAAGAAAATTAGGGCTCCATGATGCCAAAGACAGGTAAGAATCTCTTCAAAAGTGGAAAGCAGGAGCCAAGTTTGTCAACAGCAGCAGTTACAAGTTTGTTTTGCCTTAGAAGTAGCAGGAGCACCAGCTTATATACAACATTATCAAGTGCCCTAACTCCAGAATGTTTCGGTGGGATGTTTTTTCAGAATTATGAACTAAACTTGCTTCCAGAATCCCTCATTGTTGCACAAATCAAGCTATGTTCTTCCATCGTCTGTAGGTTTTTGTATTAAAAAGTCAAAAAGGCACTGGAAATATTTTATATGTATTTATTGGCACTGTACATCTATATATGTCAATTTTATGTGACTGTAAAAATCAAGGTACAAACTTGAAAACCTATTGTTCTCAGCAGCTTCCTCCTTCAGCAGATGGCTTTGATATCTTCTAATGATGAAGTTTATCAATAGCTTGTTTTTAAAATCACTTCGGATCTTAAAGCAAAATAAATAAATAGATAAAAGCCCTTTGTTTGATTCACCTTCATTCCTGACTCGTTCTGTACTTTCATGAGCATCCACCAAAAGCTGACGTTTACAACTGGGAAGAGCAGGAGTTTGTTCAGCCATGGCAGCGTTGTTACGTGTGCTGTATTTTTCACACGTGATTCCCCAGGTCACAGAATCACAGAATTGCAGGGTTTGGATGGGATCTCTGGTGAGATATTGGCACAGCTGCTCAGAAGGTGGTGGAGTTACCATACCTGGTGTTAAAATGGGAGATACCACACTGGGTGACATGGTCTACAGCAGTCGTAGGCATGGGTTGATGGTTGGACTAGATGACCTTAGTGGTCTTTCCAAGCTGAATGATTCTATAGTAGGTGCAACTGCTATGTGAAGATATGAATGTATTTACAGCTCACATACAGAAATCCCCAAGCAGGATACAGAGGCACAGCTGTGCATGTAGAGACCAAAGTGGAAGAGATCTATTAAGATGTAACCATGCAAGCCACTGCCAGAGCATGATTATCACTCAAAATAGCTCTTTGCTCACTACGCTTCCTTTCTCTTGACAGTTCCTAAAAACAAAGCATGAAAAATTGTATCCTTCCAAAGATATGGCAAGGGCTGCTCCAGCCCTAACCCTCTAGCAAGATGACTTCACTTCTTGCAGATACCCCACTTCCTTTTCTTCATGTAAATCAGGGGAATCTCTAGTACAAAAACAAGGAGATATGAAACAACTTTTTGCTGTAGCGGTGGGACTGTTCCTCTTTGCTACAGAATTATCCGGCGAGTAGGTAGAAAAGGCATTACAGCATTTGGAAAACTCCCATGTTTGTGCAGACCTCTAGATCCACTGAAACTACACAGTTCTGCTCTGCTACCACCACCGTACGTGTGCTGACATCTCATTAGTTTACATTTGGAGGTCATGCCTGTATGCTTCTTTGATGAAGGATGTTAAAAGAGGAGGTGAGATTGAAAAAAGACTTCTTCTTTAGCACAGGCTGCTGGCAGTTCTCACTTTGACTAGAAAAGTAGGACTGATCTCCTGCATAACCCATTACTGCTACCCCTCTACGGTCGTAAATTTTGATGCCTGTTCATTAGGCATGTTCTGTCGAGCATATTGCTCCTCAATTACAATCCAAATTTCAGGGAAGCATTTATGCATCTATTCGAAGCCAAGTGCTTTGAACAAATCATTTTTTTGGCAAGCATAGTTTTCTGCGGAATTGCTTTCTTGCTTCAGTGGGGCACCGCTGGGATCGTGCTTTAAGGCTGCGAATGTAGCAATGACAACACAGCTCCTTCAAGTAGGTTTAGTTTATTCTTGCAGAAAGTTCTCAAATGGTAGTTGAGGAAAAAAAAAACCCCACTTTTTCCAGCAATGATGTTGGATAGAGAAGCTTGCTGGCGCAGCTGCCACAAGGATTTTTCTTGTCTCATACTGTCACAGGGTGAATTTCCTAAGTGACAAGGCTGACTGCCCTGCTCTAGCAGCACCTGCTCTGTTCTTGCTGAAAAACCCTCAGGGATGGCACACGTGCTGTGAGCATATGTGAGTGCCCTCAGTGCAACCAGGCAGCCCACACTGCTTCCACCTGCACTCAGCACTGCTAAATTGCCTTCCTGTCCTCCTGCGTCCACATTTGCTGCATCAATGCTTTGACAAAGTGCTTCCACACCTATGACTTTTAGGAATAAACTCACAGCTGAGAAGCCTGTGAACAGAATAATGGCTCTGTAAACAAGTTGGGGGTTGTTTGCTCCTTCTGTTCTTCCCATCTCCTGAGGCAGATTCCTCACACTCCCTGCCTGCTGTATCAGTTTCAACCTGAGGATGAGGAAAGCCCTTGAGCCGGGGCAGCACTGCTCACCTGGGGCACAGGATGTGTGAGATCAGTCTCTCCTTCTTGGCTGAGGCTTTGGAACATTACAAATCTGTGACAACATTCATGTTTCCTGTTGTTTGTCATACAGCAACGTGTGTCACATTAAAGAAACCTCCTCAGAAGTCTCCTTCCCATTTAGATACAGGGTCTGATCTGTGGCCCTTCTTTGCTGCCAGAGCAGTTCTGGAGCCACAGGAATTAGCATGGGTGCTGATAACTCAGAGACTGCACCATATGAAACCATCCTCCAGTGATGAGAGAGCTCCCTACCAGGGCCCTCTTGAATCAGAGAGATCAGGACTAGATGACAGCCTCAGACAGCTCCCGGTCTCTGATAAGAAACACCACCAAGAACATAAATCGTTTCATCCTGCCCTCCTTCCCTCGTCTTTATACGCCATTAGTCCCTGATCTGAGAAACAGAGAGAGAAGAAAGATCAGCCAGCATATTGCTGGTTTGCTTGCCTTTTCCCTTTTTCAGTCTTTCCCACCTGGCTGTTCAGCAAATAGGTAGTATTTCCCTCTTCTTTCCCTATGCACTCGAGGTCATGCAGTCCCAGAGTTCTCTGCGAGTTCCATGGCAGTTCTCTGGAAGAATCCATGCTCCAAGGACCGAGGCTGCTCTCTTCCACAGCACAGACTTTCCACACAGAAGGAATTTCAGAAGCATGCCAGCAGGCTCAGACAGCAGAATGACATCTCACTCACCCTGTAGTCACCACTGTCAATTCTTCCCATGGATGGGGAGCAGAGAAAGCCTTTGGCTGAAGAAGGAAAGGCTCGACTCAATCACATGCAACAGGAAGCATCAAATAAGCATTAGCCTGAGCTATTGCAATACTGAAGTGCTTTCCACTCACGCACTTAAAGGAGTACTTTACAGAATTGACTAAGTAGCTAAATATAGTCAAATAAATAAACAAATATCATAACCAGCTGATCTCCCTCAACTTCCCACTGCAACCTTCCCAGATAACTCATCATGCCTCACATTCCCCCTATACCTTCAGTGATCAGCACACCCATACACCTGAGCCCCAGTACACACCATCACATTACCCTCTGCAGAGCCCCTCCTGCCCTGCACGCAGCACCTCACAACCCCTTCCTTCACCACTACACTTTCGCTCCCACACAGCTACAGGAGCAGAGCAAGGTGGGGCTAATGGGGTCAATTGGCCCTCGTTAACACCTTGATCAAAGTCTGTGCCTTTCCTTCAGCTCATCGGACCTGGGAGTACTTCCTCTACTCAACCCAACTCAACTCAACCCAACCCAACTCAACCAACCCAACCCAACTAACCCAACCCAACTCAACACAACCTTCTCTGTCTCTGTCTCTTCATACTGCCTATTTCTCTTAAGGAAAATACAGCAGTCAACAAACCAAAGTCCTCAAAGAGTGCCCAGGTGCTCTCCGTAGCCTTCTGAAATGTCTGGGATCCCTCTCCCATAGACCTGGTTTGGATTTAGGTGGGGTGAAGACAAACCTGCCATTAGACTTTACAAGCGATCCCCTGATCCCATCCACAGCTCCCCTTAAGTGAGCTGTCAAGAATATTCTCAACAAGAATATTCATCGTGTATATATATTATACGTAACTTACTTTCTCCTTCTTCTATCTGTACAGGCTTTCTCTGATGTATTCATAGACTTAAAGCAGAAAACTCCAATGCAGTCAAACTATAGTGTCCTATAAATGCCAAACAGAATTAGTTATCAAGAATGACTTCCAAATACTATCATGTGCTCTGATGCACTCATCCAAAGTATTACTTGTTTTCATAGGAATAACTGATGTCTTCCCAGAAAATCGGGATGTTTTGTGGTTTGTTTTTTTTTTACTTAGATAAGACACTGAGTTAACGGGATCCAGACCTGCATCAAGAAGGCCTCCAAGGCTCATTAGTGTATCTATCCTTTTATTATTCCTTATCTGTGAAGTAGGGAAAATCCATTTTTGCAAATGGGGAACTGTGGAGATACTAAATGACTCGTCTACAGTCACACAGGAAATCTATGTGGGGGGAGGAAAAAGGAATCACAGAGATCCTCCAGGGTCTCCACTTCTCCCCTTTTCTCATCCTTGGCACCCAGAGCAAGGGCTGGGAGACAATGAGAGTTGCCATGGAACTGTTCAGGCAGGGACAGCAAAGGCTGAGTCAGCAAAGGCTGAGTCAGCAAAGGCTGAGTCAGTGGTGGTCACTTCTGTCCACTGTGCTGTTGGGGACTCCAACATAGGAAAGAAAAGAAAGCTCTGGGGAGACCTCACAGCAGCCTTTTAGTACTTAAAGGGAGCTTATAAGCAAGAGGGAGAGTGATATTTTACATTGGCAGACAGTGATAAATCAAGGAGGAATGGTTCTAGACTAAAAGAGGGGAGATTTAGATTAGATGTTAGGCATAAATTTTTCACTCAGATTGCGGTGAGGTCCCAGAACTGCTGCCCAGAGCCGTGGATGCCATCCCTGGAGGTGCCCAAGGCTGTGGATGGGCCCTGGGCAGCCTGAGTGTGGGGCAGTCAGCCCATGGCAGGGGGTGGGACTGAGAGGGCAATGCTAAAGTTCCCCATCTCTACTGCAAAAGGTGCAAGAACCTATGAGCAGGCTTGGCGGGGACAGGACTGGGAAGCATGGTGCTCAGTGTCACACTGGTGTGCCCTCAACCATCCTGGCTTGTTGGCATCTCTCCTCCTGCCCTGCAGTGTCTCCCCATGCCCATGCCCACTTGTTGCTACCTCAGTGGGATAACAAAGCTAAGGATGACCACATCTGTCTCTAAGGAATTCATCCATCCTCTGCTAGGAAGATGACGTTAGATTAAACAAATACATAAAAGAGAACAGATGAGTTTTCAAAGGCAATATTTTCTAGCCACTAAATTCCCAGTCCAGAGGGCTTCACTTTGAATTAGTATGGGCTGTCTCTGCTCCAGAATTAAAGTTATTGATCCAGTCCTTGTTTACTGTCATCCACCTTTGTTCCTGGACTTATTACCACCTGTACAGGGTGAGAGCCTCTAATTAGCAACTGCAATTTATGGGCTTACTCTGGAGAACCACCAGTCAGGAAGCCACCCAAAAATCACTGCAGAGGAATTGTGGCAGGACACCCACCTCCCATCCCCAGGGAGCTGTGTGCAAGCTCTTACACAGACTTCTATGCAGCCCCTTTGAATTTGCCAAGTAAATCATTTTACGGGAAGCTTTGTAATTGGCCGTTCAACAGTTTTTTCCCACAGTGACAATCTTTTCCTTGGCTAATCTGTTGGAAACCAAAAACCTCCTGAATAATGTCCAGCAGTCATAAATCCTGCACGCATCTAATGTGGCATGAATGTTGTTCCTCTGGGAGGTCTGGAGGTTGGGGGTCTGGATTTGGCAAGAGCTCCATCAGAGCAGGCTGAGCACATCAGAACAGGCTGCCAGCTATTGTGACTGATGATGGGATGGCTGCTGGGGTCTGACTGCACCACAGCACAGAGGATGCTCTGCAAAAGCCTGAACTGACTGTGCTCATGCACAGAGCTTCTTGGATAAGATCTCTCCTTGACCAGCTTCTCTCTTATCAGTTTTGTTCTTGAAGTGTTTTGTTGTTTGTTTTTTTTTTAACAGACTAAGTGTTTCTAGGTAAGCCTCCAGAGGATGTTTGCTCAATGATTGTCACTAAATAAACAAAGTGTGCTGACTGAAGTCACAAAAACAAGGACATGGCAGTCTGGGGACCTTGGCTGCCACAGACAGCCAGACAGCCTCCCTGCAGCATCCCCAGGCGTTGAGCACTGGTGTAAGCAGGGATCCTCATCCAGGACCCCATGAACACTCCTCTTTCCCCACACTACCTATCTTCAGCAAAATTAAGGACCTGTTCTCCCGTGACCAAATTGCAGAACACATGTACAGCCCTGACCCCACGATTTCCCATCAACCAAAACGCAAGGGGCCCTGGAAAACCCACGGTCTGTGCTCACCTGTGAGCCCCTGAGCACTGCATGAGCATCACATGCTCTGGTTTCCCCATCTCTGTTGGCAGGAGGTGTTGACAAACACTGCAGAATCCAGCATCTCCTCTGGGGAAGTCACCTCTGAATCTCCCTGACCTGCCCAGGGGTGGTTTGAGCTCAAACCTGACATTTCAGAGGTTTGGGACAATGTCACGTTCACCCATAGGTACCAGAAACCTGACTGTGCTGGTGGTGAAGCATGGGGATCCCACATCCTTTCCCCAAAGGAAAATCTGAGGGGGCTTCTTGTTCAGTAGATCCAAGAGGGTTTCCTTGCCCTTTTTTGAGCCTGACTAAAAACGCAGGGGGGAAGAAACCTGAAACAAACACTCCTTTCTGCTTTTACTCCTCATGTAAAAGCCCTTTGCTTTGAAACAAGTAACCTTCTGATGTACAGAACTATTAAATCAAGGAGGGAAGGACAGGATGCATTCCTCTAGACTACCGTCATTTTCTGAGCGAGTTTCACGATGGGAACACAGGGTGACTTGTGGCCCTGAAGCCTGAATCTGCAGCGCTCGAAACCAGAACTTCCATCCCAGGGCAATTTCTGACATTTGCAGTTTCAACATCCTCAAGGATGTTGAAAAGTGAAAATACTAAAGTTCACCGATTAAAGGCACCCAGGAAGTTTTGCCTTTCAAAGTAATAATAATAATAATAATAATGATAATAATAATAATAATAATAATAATAAAAGGAAGACCTCTGTAACTTCTAAAGAAATACTTCGTTCCCAATTCTGGTGTTTCAAAATGCCTCCTCTTGTAGATATTTTTCATTTAAATTCCTTATCTTAAAACCAGAATCTTTGCCCTAAAGCATCACATTCCCATGATAGATGCCAAATCCAGCACCCCAGTAGCACGACAAGATTATTGCTCCAGTTACAAATGTTTTATTCACGTGTTCCTCAATCTAAATTTCAAATCTGGGTCCTGAACCCCACGTAATGGCTTTCTTTCAAAAACCATTTTCGAGCTGCTGAGCAGAAACACTTAAACGTGCCACAGAGAAAGAAAATGTATGTGGAATGATAATGGCTTTAATGCACTCCAAGGGTGTCAGTGCTTCGTACCACCCCCGCCCATTTGTTACTGAACCACAATGGGCAAACCTTGAAGAAAACAGCATTACACTGTGGAGTACATATTTGTTAGCTCTACGCATCCTTACACTGCTGACAAGGAGCCAGAGAATGACTCATGTGGTTTGTTAGAAGGAGAAGCTTGAAATGGAGAGCACGGAACTTAGCAATGGAATGAGAAATGCTCGGAGGATGGGAAATAGAGCAGCAAACAACAACAACAACGTTAAAAGTGTCTCTGAATTTTACAAGGTAGTTTCTTCCCAACTGTGTTTTAGGTCATCAAGAAGACGAATAAAGGAAAACAAAACACAGAGAACCCTTTGACGAGGTGCAGGAAAAATGCCCTGGTGAACAGAGTCTCAAAACCAGCTCCGTTTTTTCTTTCTGCTTATTTTGCATCTGTGTGCCAACCAACCACAGCAACCTCCATTAACTGATGGGAACCACAGGTTACTTTTTGATGATCACAATCAGGCAAGCATTAGCATAACATGTGCCAAGCTGACGTTTGGGTCGAGTCCAACCTCAGCAAATTACTGACCCAGGTTGGAAAATGGAGACTGCCTTTCCCTACTCCTTGAACATCAGCACTAATGCACTCCCGGACCTTCAGCACGTGCCTCTCCAGTCACAGAGCAGCTCTCTGACCCTCAGGGAACACCTGGTGTCACAGCCAAACTCTGCCTTCATTTCTCCCTGCCTGAGGTAGAAGCTTGCAAGACAAAGCTGCTCCATGCACCGAAGCCTCTACACAGCCATAAATAATTCCCCCTGCTCATGTTGGTTACCAAACCCAACTGCCCTTGGCTTGCAGAGGACTCTTGCCTTGTTTTGTTATTCCTGTCTGCCTTTTTTTTTTTGCTTGGTTTGCTGCAGTGAGATGTTTCTGTGGAAACGCAGCTGTGGGAAGAGGGGCCTTAGGGGAAACCTGGGAAGTCTGGGGATTTTGGATTTACACTCATCCTTAGCTTATCTCACCCATAAAATGGAGCAGCATATTGTAATTACAGAGTATGAAGATAAGAAAAATTACTGTTACCCTTTTTTTTCTTTTTCTAAGTCCCATTTACAAGGGCTGGTGAGCCCCTAGACTGGCTGCTTGCTAGACTAGTGACTTGTTTGCAGCCTAAGAAGTCAAAAAGGCAAGAAGCACTGAACCAGAAGTGAAGCAGATGATGACAGAATGCATGCTTCCCAAAGCCGATGGCCATCATGAAAAAGCAGTGCCAAACCTGCCAGGTAGGTCTGATGGATAAGTGAGGGCACACAGCTTTGATCAGCTGCAGGAAAGTTTATTACATCAGCAATATTGCAAAACACAAATAACTTTGTCCTAGAACAAAGAAGAAGGAAATGAAAGCAAATGAGCACGTAGAAACTTGACAAACCCCAAAAGCCAATATCTCCTCCTTAGGACCATAGAAAACAAGCACAGATGTTTTCTTGGTGAGGAGAAGCTGAAGCCACTCTCTAACAGCCCTTCCAACACACTTCATAGCACTGTGTTACCATGTGATGCCTAAGGAAGCCAACCAAAAGAGCCTTTGCCTTCCATGACACAAAGAGAAAAAACTTGGACACCAAATAGACCTTCATTTCTCACAGATGTCACCAAGGAACCAGACAAGCTATGTGAATAAAACTTAGAAATAAACATTTCCTATTCAACAGTACAATATTTGCAGCCAGCAGACTATACAGCCTCTCCCTTCCTGTTGCACAGAGCGCTCCATGTAATTAATCGTAGCTCAGACACAGCATAACCAGTGACATTTAGCCCGTCTCATCAAAACCAGGGAACCCTTGACATCATTTAAGTCATTTTCCTGGTAGGTCTTTTCAAGCCTGCATTCATCAGCTGGTAAGTGAGCAGATTTCTAGCTCATGTGGCTTTGACCTCCTCACTCCCAAAGACCAAGCAGCACAAAGAGTGCAAATATCTGGCTGTAATTTAGTGGAAGCCCGACCCCACTCCTATCAGCACTGCTGATCAGAGCGCAGCAAAAAGCAATTCAAGGATCTGAGAGCAAGTTCTGTTCACACTCCTAACCTCAATCAAGACCTGCCATAAAGAAACCTCTTGCAGGTGCCATTACTCAAGGAGGTCATCATTTTAAAAACCACCTTGTACAAGCAAAAGTTCCTCACGGCAGATTTGTGTCTGCTCATCCCTTGTGTTCTCTCACATTAACCAACTTGTTTCCTTTGGCTCGGTCTGGCTCTTGCATTACTGCTCTTATGCACGAGCTTGAATCCCATCCAGATGAAATTACAGAAGGCTGTATAATGAAATTTCTAGCCACACTGGGGCTTTGGCTCTAAACATCTCTTAATTATACCTGCAGTACCTTGAAGTTCTTCACTGAAACACGGAGATGGGTGGAAGAAATTTGTATCAACTCAGATATTATTTTACCTAGCATGGGAAACTGCCTGCATCCTACACCAGAAGGCACCAAATAAACCCATTCTGCAGCAGTAAAGACTTTTCTTTTAGAGCATAGTCAACAGTTCAGCAATCTGATTTCAGAAGGACTTTCACTGGTTCCTGCCTGCACTGGCTGCTGTTATCTACCTGGCTCCAGGACGCCAGCAGAGCTCTGCAGCAGTGCTTGATTCTGCCCCTTTGACAGTGAGGGTATCTGAGAAGAGTTTTCCAGAATCAAGTTGATATGTTCTCAGGTTTCTGGTTTTGGTTGTGTTTTTTTTTTTTTTAATGTTTGCAATATCACCAATAATTGTTTTTTTAACATTCAAAAAAGGATTCCAGTTTATGAGAGGGCTTCTATTCTCTGTATGCTTCTGGGCACCAAGCAACAGAGCACGTCTTGTATCTGTGTGCTTGTCATTAAGGTGGTGCTTCTGTATCAGTCCTGCACTGAGGACAAAACCAAGTAGGGCATAGTTATTATTCTCCAAATGTTCTGCCAACGCCAGCAGATGTCAGTGCCTCATCCCTGGAGGTGTTCAAGGCCAGGTTTAATACTGGGCAACCTGGTCCAGTATTAAACGGGGAGGTTGGTGGCCCTGGAGATTCATGATCCTTGAGGTCCCTTCCAACCTGGGCCATTCTGTGGATCTGTGGAAAGGTGTACAGTGCTTCCCTGGAGTCCTCCATCTGGGAGGAATTTGGAAATGAGCTCAGCTGCGATAGGAATCCCCTTATTGGACAGCAGAGAGGAGCTGCAGGAAGGAAGGAAGGAGACTCCAGGCTGATGGGAAGCCAGATTCACCTTCCCAGAAACACTTTCCAGACAGGGACACAGAGGGAAATGAGATTGTGGAGACAGCACCAGGGAAGAAAGAAAAATGCAAAGGGGAACTGAGAATCCTGTGTTGGCAAGACGGCCTACAGTGCTGTAATACAAGTTACCTTGCCCTTTACCTTGCCCCAGTGATGTCCATACCCGCTGGTGTAATGTCCGTGCTCTTTTCAAATCGAGAAGTGATTTAAATCCTCAGGGCTGACCTTGCAGGAGAAAGCACAGGGAAAAAATCAGGGTTTTGCCCATAAGGAAAAGCAGACCTGTTTCAGAAGGGAGTTTTGGGGAACTTAGATGGATGTGTCTGAAGCAATGACTGATAAGGAGATCACTCAGGGACAAGTATTTTGAGCTTCTCAAAATCTGAAGGACAATTGCATATTTAAAACGAGGAGGCCTGCTATTATTTTCACTGAGATTATTTTCACATCGTGCACTGTTGAATCCTCTGAAGCGATCTGATAAATCAGAAATTGTCTGTTTTATTCTTCCTTCCCTGGAGAAATGGAGGCATAACAGCGTTTGTCAGCACCCCAGACTCCACGTGCTGCCACATGAGAGCAGGTTCCCTTATCAGACACGTGGAAACACAGAGACAATGCAAAATGAGTGCCTTCTGAAGCACAGTGCTTAAAGGCAGCATGGCACCGGGCTGGAGCCACAGCCCCTCTCTAAATTACCCCTTCCTTCTTCCTATGGCCTAAGCACACCAGGTGAGCATGCGAGTACAGCTTTCAAAGAGCCCTCGTGTTTCTCATGGATTATCAGGAGAAAATAACAGTCCTGGGAGATGGGACCAGCTGTGGGCTGGTCTAGGAGTTGAGGTGGGGTGATTCTGACAGGCAGCCAGCTGTTTTCAGCATCTCTAAGTAAGAGGAGCTGCAGTAATTAAACGTCGCAGGCAGAATATCTGGATGCAGTTTCTTTGAAGAATTGCTGGAAAAGAAGTAGCAAGTGATCGTTTATGTGATGGAGTCATTACTGTAACAAGATTACAAAACAACCCATCTGCTTCTTAACCTTTACCCCCAGCTGAAGGAGGAAGCCAGACTGTGATGTCTGCCTGCAGCTGGGCAGTCAGGGTTTGTGCTCAGGACGTGCTGTCTGGGAAGAGACATGCCAGAGGTTGAAGTGCTGGCCACACTCCATTCTGTCTCTGCACAGAGTTCCCAAAGAGGTTTCCAGCCCACAGAATGCCCTGGGGAGAGAGAAGGGGGTGCTGATGTGGGTGCTGCAGGTGGCTGACCCCTTGTTCCCAAGGCGGATGGAAATGAGAACCCAAAAAGGTCCCTGGTCTTTGCTGTGATTCATTCCCAGAGCAGAGACATCACCTTGCCTTGGCTTGGAAACAGCCAATGAAGCTCAGCTCTGCCATGTTTACATAGCTCTGCTGGAGATGTCAACAGCATCGCTGAAATTTCCACTGCTCTAAGCCCTCCAGAGCACTGACTGGCTGACCATTTGGCCACATTTGCTTGGAAAGTTTCAAGGAAACTGAAGAGTGTTCAGTCTCATCTGTTGGAAACAATATCCCCTGCTTAGCTGAACCCAATTGCAACATCTTCCAGGAGATGAGAACGCAGCAAGCAAAAGCAGCATGTAAAGTACGTACGAGTTTGTTGTTTTCTGCCTTTCTGGTGCCAAAGAGAAGTCAGATCAAAGTCCTGATAAAAGCAAAAGAAGAGGTCAAGATTCTAAAGGGCAGAATCATAGAATCATAGAAACATAAAGGTTGGAAAAGACCTCTAAGATCACCAAATCCAACCCCAGTCCATCACCACCGTGCCCATTGATCGTGTCCTTCCGTGCCACATCACATGCTGCAGAGTGACTAAGGAGAGGAAAAACATGCTGGTTCTGGTATAAAAGGTGCTGAGGGAAATCGGATGCAAACTCTCACAGCCCAGAGCTGGGAATGGTTTGTGGACAAGGCTGGGACACCTCTGATGCTGCCCATGATTGTGGCTGATGCCACAGCACTTTATACCTTGTCCCACCCTGCAGGAAGGGAAGGGAAATAACTGCAAGGGCTGCAAGAAGCAGAAGCCAGAGGTGCAAAACCTCAGAAGCAGAACAGCTCACTTCCCGAGCACATCCAGCAGGCAGTCAGCACAGAAAGGGGAATGAAACTGCAGCACAGGGATGGGGCTGTGCAGAGAGAGAATGCAGAGAAAGGGGGGAAAGGCAAAGGTATATCCTCATTGTCCTTGGCTGTTGGGTGTCTGAAGGAGATAGCTGGGCCAGAAGCATTCTTGGCTTTGCTGGATTGGTTCAACCTGTGATGAGATGTTGGAAATGTGATGCCCCTTCTGCTGCTGACAACAAAGGGATGGGGTGGGTAAGTTGGAGGAGGTGTGGCAGGAGGTTCAGTGCGGTTGTCCGTCTGCTCCAGAGCCAAGAAAAAGCTGATGGAGCTGGATGCTCTGCAAATAGAAACAAGATTGAGTCACCCTGACACATGTGAAATGACTTCCTCAGTCCTGTGGGACAGGCTGTGTGATACAGTAGTTCTGGCCTGAATTTAGAGGCAATGTTGGCAAGAGGAAACTGCCCGGAAAAGGCAGAGTAAATGTAGATGCAGCCTAACCACAGGACTGGCACTGCAAGGCAGTGGCTTTCCAGCTGAAACAGGAGACATTTGATGCTAGGAGCGTTGCTCAATGCCCTCTCTACCCCTCACACCCCGTGGGTGATTCTTCCCTGCAGCACTGGGGACATCCCAAGGGATAAACAGACCTTCCTCAGACCCAGCCTCCAAGAAGCCCCTTCTGCTTGGGTGGAGAGATATCATAAGACATATTTCATAAGGAGCAGCAATGCACATCTGGAATAGGCTCTGGTGAAGGCTGCTCATAGAAGCCTTGGGTGCTCCATCCCTGGAGGTGCCCAAGGCCAGGTTGGATGGGGCTCTGGGCAGCCTGAACGGATGCCTGATTTGCAGCCCTGCCATGGCAGAGAAGTTGGTACATAATAAACATTGAGGTCCCTTCCAACCAAATCATCCTGTGCTTCTGTGTTCTATAAAATCCTCTTGGGTTTGGGCACTTGCCTGGTAATATCCAGGGGATACAGTCACCCACATCTTGTTTTTAACTGATGTGCCCACATTGTTCCTCATAGTCAGCACTCATTGTACTGCAGATGCCTTCCTTAGAAAGGAAGGGGAAAGAAGTAAATGCTGTGGTTGTTTCTTGGGAATGAAATTGTACTGTTTTGATTAAGTCAAGAGGCTGCAGAGGGCAGCTGCAGCTCCTTCTTCTGCTCCCAATGCTCATCTCAGCTCATACATTACTTCCAAAAAGATTTTAATAATAAAAAATGAAAATATAACCGGGGCATTGATTCCATTACTGTTCTTTCTGAGCAATAAACCTACTGGTTGCCATTGAACAAAAAGGAAAAAGCAATTGTAAGAGATGCCTGGATAAATGCCCTGATCTGTCAATGTTTCTGATGGAGATAAATTTTGTTGGTAAAAGCAAAGATCCAGCCCTGAAATAAAAGGAACCCAGAGCCATTAATATCAATAAAAATCGGTCTGCCAGACCTATTGAAGAACTGGTGCAGCTGGGAGTGGGGAGATCAAGAAAGAACGCAGGGGGGAAGATACTACATGTGTGGGTCTGCAGAGAGAGGGGAAAGAAATAAGAGAAAGGAGAGGGAGCGGGGAGGAAACAGAGAAAAACATTTAGTGGGGGAGTCCTCAGGGAATCAGCCTCTCATCAGGCACCTGAAAAAGGATGGAGTTAATGCAGAGCATCCGTACAGCTTGAAAATTGTCTTTTCTGTGCACTCAGTAACGGGCCTGCAGGCGCTGAGCCTCTCATAGAAACACAGAATCATGGAACTGTTAAGGTTGGGAAAGACCACTGAGATGATGACGTCCAGCCATCAACCACATTGTGCCCACCAGCCCAGAAAGAGCTCAGCCCCAAGGTCTGCCAGCCCAGCCCCACAGCACATGGCACAGTGCTGGCTTCCTGTCCCTTGGGAGAGACAGCAGGTAAAGCCAAGTTCTGCTGTCTTGGTTCATTCCTCATTGCATGCAGATCGAGAGCCAGCAAGGGAGGTGACTTCAGCTCTTTGGCACGTCAAGCCATTGATCTTATGGTGTGATTCCCCTGCTAAGTTTCCTCGTGGGCACGTTTTGCTGTTGTCCCTGGGAGTTTTGCCAACTAATACTGAGTCAAAGCCCGTCCCGTGGAATGCTTCTTCACTGCAGCTTTGTGGGACGTGCCGGAGAGTAACAGGGTCAGGGTGGAACGAGGAAGAGATGCTGGGCAATAGCAAACAGCCTGGTGTGGGGACAGGGACACGCTGGTACCGAGTGCTCGGGGAGGGCAACATTTCCTTGGGGAACATTTGGGACCATCAACATCTGCAAAACTTCTTCAGAAATTCAAGGGCTGCTCTGAAAGTAATGCCTCCTGTTTTATCACGTTGGCCCACGATGTCAGATGCAGACGCCGGTGGGATGGCAGCAGAGGCTGAACCTTCCCGATAATATTCCATTCCACTTTGTTGCAGAGTGACAGATGGCAGCAGAGAGGCACTCTGTCATAACGGTGCCTGACATGGGAGCGCTTATGAAGCAAAGGGGTGGAATTGAACTCCTCCTGTTGTTATTCACCAGCACTCACTGAATGTTCATGAAGACCAAACTTTCTGAAGGCCCTCAGCAAGGGCGAGCTAGCCTTGGAGATGACCTACCCTGGAGGCAGCCCTGGGTCATTTTAAGCATTTCATTTTTCTAAACACAGAATAGAAACTGGGAGGCTGCAGGAGAGGGAAGAGGTTTGACTGCATGTTTTCATGGGAATTCATCTTTCTGTCCTTTTTTTTTTTTTTTTTAAATCAAAAAGTATCTAAATTTAACGCTGCAGCCTCATTTTTAAACACAACTTTGGTACATGTTGTACTGAGAGGTGTTGAATGGGAACACTTTGGCTTCAAAAGAAAAGAAATGCAGAATTTGATTGATCGTTTTTTTGACCTAAATATGAAATTTCAAGAAGCACTGAGTACACTGGCTTGGCCGGTTCTAATTAGTGCTGAGTGTTACCATCAGCCAGGCAAAATAATTGCAATCCTGAGCTTTGTAAAAATTGCAAAATGCTTCAAGTGAAATAACTGCCAATGCAAACAACTTTAAGCAGCTGACAGAAGTCTCCATGCCAGGACATCACCATTCCATTTATTCTCCATCGCTCTACTACGCATTCCCTGAGCAAAAGAGAATGCTGTGGAAATGAGGAGAGCAGGATTTGCTAAGAGCCCTTTCAGAGCTGATAATGGAGCAGGAGGGGCACAAGTCCTCGGGCTGTCCCTTGCTGTGTGCTTTCAGCAGCTGTGGAAGTGCAGATGGAGGTGAGATTCTGCACGGGCTGGGAGCAGGGTGCCAGGCTCTGGCTGATAGAATTAAGTGGCCACAGCTGCTGGCGTGGTGCTCTGTGATCAGATTTAATCAGCCTTATGCTGCTTGTGCTTAAAGCAAATTAAATTAAACCTCGTTTAAAGTAATGAATCCCAAGTAAGCAAAGCGCTGGATCAAAGCAGGAGGGGGAGTGGATTGTCACTGCTGGAAATGTCACCGCTGACATGGCTGGATCAGGGCTTCCTTCAGAGGGGCTGGAAGGGCTGGTGAGCAAACCCACTGAGAACAACTGAACCTTCAGCAGGGGCGAATGAAGAGGGACATCCTGAGAAACTCCACATTGGGTGTTCCATACAGGACAAGCAAGTCCCTAAAGGGCAGGGAGATGCTCCTCACCAAAGAGAACCTCTCCCACTGCCATCCTCTCTCCTGTCGAATTAATCTGGACTCAGATTCACCATAGTACCTGTTGCCCATAGAAGTTGTGGCTGCCCCATCTCTTGAGGCTGGGTTGGATGGGACCCCAGGAAGCATGATCCAGTGCCTAACTTGTGTTTGGCAACCCTGCCCATGGCACAGTGATTGGAAATGGACGATCTCTGAGGTCTCTTCCAACCCTAGCCATTCTATGACTCCACAGTTCTAGCTACACAGGACTGTTATTTCCCACATTGTTTTGCACTGGTGCTTGCTCCTGGCTTGTGAATGGCAAAGTTATTTAGATCAGAGCCATGCCAGCCCCGAAAGTCCCTCCACATTTCTCCCAAACCACTGCCAATCTTCCCACAAGTTGCCAAAGCAAAGGAAGTGACAGGAGCCCTCCAGCCTTTGCAGCCTCCTGCAGAATCAAAGCCTGATTCTTACCTCCAGGATGCCTCAGAGCAGACAGTCACCAAACCAGTTCACATTTCCTCCAGAGTGGAGCACAAAGGATGGCTGGGAATGGGAGAGGTGAATTGCATACATTTAGGTTCATTCATGAAAACATTTTGGGTCATTCATCAGGTGCCAGCAAAAGCAGGAGCCCATCCCATCCACGCTGGAGAGATGTGCAGACATGAGGAAGGAGTTCAGGTGAAAAATGCCTGGATGGCTTCCAGAAGGCTGTGCTCACACTGGGGCACCAGCTGAGCTGGGTTCTCTCCTGTGTAGGGCAAAACCCTGCGCCAAGGGAACCCCCATCACCCACTGCCAAGAACTGGGAAGCTGAGCAGTGTTTGCCTGCATTGCCCTTCCGGTGCTTGGCTTTGCATTTTTGATTTATTTATAGTATGAATGTGTAATAGCATGCTATATGACCTCAGCTGGCTGCCACTCACTTGCGCAAGAGTAAATTTTTGACACTGATGATAAAGATTGCTTTGTTGTGATCAGCAGAGATCTAGGAAGTCCAAGCTGTAAAATTAGGTGTTCAGCATGACAGCAGGGTAGGCAGACACCTGTACAAGCTGTCTCTAAGAAGTCTTATATTTTTACAGTGACACATTATTTGCTGAGTAGTGACCATAAAAAAAGTTTCTGGTGGAAGAAGTGTTGGACCCCTCACTACAAGAAGGACATGGAGGCCCTGCAGCGTGTCCAGAGATGGGCATGGAGCTGTGAGGGGTCTGAAGCACAGGTGTGATGGGGAATGACTGACTGACACAGCTGGGATGGGTCAGCGTGGGGAAGGGGAGCTCAGGGGAGAAATCAGTGCTCTCTACAGCTCCTGAAAGGAGGCTGTGGTGAGGTGGGGTTGGCCTCTGCTCCCAGGTAACATTGACAGGACAAGAAGCGATGGCCTCACATTGTACCAGGAGAGGTTCAGATTGGATATTATTAAGAAAAAATATTTCTCAGAAAGAGTGGTCATTTGCTGCAGCAGGTCTGCCCAGGGAGAGGTGCAGTCACCATCCCTGGAGGTGTTCCAGAACCATGGAGATGTGGCACCGAGGGACAGGGTCAGGGGGCATGGGGAGGATGGGTTAATGGTTGGGCTTGGTGATCTGACAGATCTTTTCCAACCTTGATGATTCCATGAAGAAAATCCACCTTCCTTATCAGACAATAAAATAATAAGAGAAAGCCAGACCTTGGGATGCACTGAAAGCCTGGGATGCTGAGACCCTGAGGAAACCTGCCTTGCTTGTCCAACCCAACAAATGCAGCCACTGAGCTTAGAAGTGAAAAAGCAGCACCCACGCTTGTTGTTGTGGCTGGGGAGCACAAACAAGCCGTTAACTGATCCCCCTCCCCACCCCATGCTGTGCCTTTGGGAGCTGGTGCTCAGCTGCTGCAGTGTGAAACCTCCACAGAGCGAGAAGCAGCTGTGCAGAGCTTGGGGCTTCCTGCTGCCACCACGCTCACCCAGTGCAGGACAGGATGGGACAAGGCTGCAAAAAGATGGCTCTGTGCTGAGGAATGGCTGCAGAAAGGACAGCTGATGCTGGAGGGGTGGTTGCAGGAGGAGATCCAGGCCTGGAGACCTTCACTCTGCACAGCACCAGGGGAAACAGTAAGCTAACGTAACCGTGGTACTTTTATGGTTTTTCTGGAGGGCTTTATGGAAGCAGGGCTGTCTCAGCTTGCAGCTGCCAAGAGCTGAGGTGGGTTTTGCAGCACTGCATGGCTTTTGGAAGAGATGCATCTGTGCAAAGCAAGCATGGAACAGCACCAGTTCTGCACTCCATGCTTCCACTGATGCCTGTGCATCCTGCAGGTTCCAATCACAGCAGGTGGGCAAAGTGCTGAGAATCGAGTTTAAATTTCAGCTAAGAATAAGTTACCTACCAGTCTCTATATCTCACCCAGACCATTCCCATTCCCACTTGCTGTCTGTGGGGAGTGGATGGTGTTTCTGCTCCCTGGATAAATGACTGAAAGCATGTAAAAAAGCTACATTAAGATAAATGAGAGACTTGTGCCTTGTGCTCCTGCTTGTGAAGTATTTCCAATTTGCACGTAGCTGCACTGCAGGAATTTCAGGGCTTGTACCAAGGAACTGGTGACAATCAGGAAGGCACAGGTTGAGCGTGACGGCAGCTCCAGTTCACTGCATGGGCTTTCTGAGCACCAAAAGCAGACTGAGAAATGTCCTGCATATTATTCTGTGCAGGAATGTGAATTTCAAGGGAAGATGCTAGCAAATCTTCCTTCCACAATCTTGTTCAACTGCTTGAGTTAGCAAAGCGAGGGGTAGTCCATGTCACTACTTAAAGAGGTTGTCTCTCCTTCAGAAGGAAACTGGAAGACATTCTGTATGCTCTGCAGATGCAGAGCACCCAGTAAATGGAAACAAAGAGTTGTCTTTCCTCAGAAGTACATCCCAGTCAGTGCAAACATAGGGTGGACCTTTCTCTTTGCATCCTTTGCACTGGTACCACCAGCATCATCCCAGCAAAAGAGGCAGTCAGTGGTAGAACTATTGCACAACACCAAAGATCCAAGCAGCCCTGCTGCAGCCTAAAGCAGCATCCTAAAACCCAGCTGACATCTCACTGCCTCCAGCTCCAAAATTAAAACATCCTTAATGAGTGCTTGCAAAGCAGGGTGTGGCCACTCAAGAGGGAGCTGCGTTAAGTGAATGGCGAGTGTCTTGTAATGGAAAGGATATTCCTCTAATTGCAAGAGTTTCCTGGCTCTGACATAACGAGGAGAATTATTTCTCTGTCTGTCAGCTTTACTGTCAAGCTGTGGCTGCACACTCAGCACAGGCTCAATGCCATCAGCCTGGAAGTTATTACAGCTGGCATTAGGCAGCTGCTGCTCTGGGCATACCCTGAACTGAGGGCAATGAACTCAATTGGGGATGCTGCCAAGGGACAGAGGGACACAGGGTTGACTCTATGATCTCTGTGCCAGCCACCACATCCCCAACAGCCACCTCAGCCCTTCCTTTCTGCTGGCTGCAGCTCCAGTTGTACAAAGGTGATGGGGAACCAAGGAGAGGTGCAATATTTGGGGAACCTTGCGTGCTTACCTGAGCAGCAGAACATTCTCGAGTTTGCAAAATTGGGTCAGAAATTGCTCAGTGACAAAATTTCTATTGCTTTCTGCTTCCACTCAAGCTAAAAATAAATGAAAATCTTATGCCAGGCTCATCGCTGCTGCAACCACGTCTGTTTCAGTGCACATTGGGGTGAGAGAGGAATGGGTCTTGGTAGCACCACTTCCAGCCCCAGGACAAGGAAAGGGAAGCCAGGGATGAGCATCCAGCCCAGCACTGCCTCTCACAAAAAGTGTCCATGTCCCAGAATGTGTCCCATCTGCTCTTCCTCCACGGTCCCAGCAATGTGCACTGAAGGGCTGTGGGTGAGATCAGGTGCAACCCCACTCTGCTGAAGTCCTGACTTTGTGTTCAGTAGGAGATGTATGCACCCCTAAGTGACTTCAAGCCACCTTGCTTTATGGCCTTCTCTGTATTTTGCAAAATTAAGGCTTTATTTTTGCTTCCATATGCTTGGGGAGCATTCATTTCTCTAGGAAGTCCCATGTAGCATAGAATCATACAATCATTTAAGTTGGAAAAAACTACTAAGATCATACAGCCCAATCATCAACCCATTGCCACGATGTGCTGTAACACATCACCAGGTGCTGCAAGAGGCTCTGCAAGACGCAGAATGAGCTGTGATGTTGGATCTGTGAGTTTGAGCCAACTAGTCAGTCTACCCCCACCAAGCGTGATCTGATTAGCTCTCAGTAAGTGACCTAAAAGTACTTCAAAGTTGTGTATTTCTCCGTTTTGCAATTAGAGGTTCAACACCTTCAGTTGTAGGAATATTCTTTGGAATTCTCTTGCAGATAGTGTAGAAGGAGCCAAGCATTTTGGGGTTGTTTTGGTATGGCCATGAGCTCAGGCATGGCTCTTGACTTTGAGCATGGCATGAACTCCTCCCTGTCCCCATGTCCCCAGTGGATGTGACCCTATAGATATAAGAGCTGCACTCAAATGTGCACATGCACACACACCAAACCCTGCTGTGTTACTTCCACCAGCCCTTCTGAAGCTCTTCTGGGGCAGTCCCACCATGGTAGAGCACATCCTGCTTTCTGGTTTGGGTCTGGACCTTTTGCTCCAAGCATAGAGCGAATGAGGCTCACACATGGGCTGAGTGTTTGGTTATTGCTCTGCACTGCGTGACAGGAGCCAGAACCGAGCCAATTAAATGGCAAGCACATTTCAAACAAATAAATGGGGATTTATCTACACAGACTGCGTTGTCAGCACAGTGGAAGGAGATAAGGCTCAGCTCCCGTTGCAGAGATTTCACACAAATTGATCACTCACAGTACCTAGCAGAGGTAATTATATTTCACACCTTAGATAAATAGAACACATCCTCCAGTAAGCCCTGCTGTCTTGGCAGGGTGAGGATGGAGCTGCAGCTTCCCCTGGAACAAGATGTGTGGTCAGGGGTAGAAAAAGTACTAGATAAGGCTGGAATAACATGCAGATGCTGAAATTGCTCCAACTTCTACTTATTTTCTGATCAATCCCGAGCTGAGGAGATTTAAAATAAACAACAATCATTTCAATCAGCGGCCAGGAAAGCAGCTCTGCCTCATTTTTCTATGACCCAGTGTCCAGCCCGTGGGAAGAGCCTTTACCTGCGAGGCCAGAAGCTCCATCCTCCCATGGCACCAACACCGTACTGATGATGCACCAACCCCAGTGGCATGGCCGCAGGCAGGGCTCCAGAAGCAGCACTGCAGTGTCCCTGCTGGGATGCTTCATTACTGCATAGAAAGAAAACAGTGTAAGGACATCAGGAGAATTTCGAAGGCTGACACCTCTTGCCCGATTACCACAAATGATCTCAGCGGCACCTATTAAATCATTTCAGAAAACGCCTGGAAACATTAACCCACAAAGAAAAAAAATTCCACCTCATGTTTCCATTGGCTCAGATGTGTGCATGCAGCTTTATTTTGAGAAACAAAAAAAGCAAACAACAACGAGTTGAATTATCATTTGTACCTTTGCGGTCCCGGTAAAATTTCCCATCGCTTCTCCGGTTGCAAGTTCAGAGAGAATAGGTACATGGGGCAAAGCTGAATCAGGAAATAACCAAATGGGTAGAGGGGAAATTCGACAAGCCCTGTGCGACGGCGGATCTGAGGTTGGGCTCTTGCCTTGGGCCTGATTCCCAGCACATCACAGCAGTGTGACCTTCAACATAACCGCATGAGAGAGGGCTCTTTGGCGCCCTGAATCCTGAAATGACTGACTGCTTACTCAGGCAACATCCTCCTGGGCTAATTAGTCACTTGTTGTCACTGGTTCTTGTTTCTTTGCTCTCGTTTTGGCTCCGTGGCATGGCGTGGCTGTGTCTCCATCACCATTCAGGGGCTCTGCTCAGAGGGCACTTGCACTGCTTGGGCTCCGCAGGGCAGCTCTGTGCAGCTCAGGCTGTTTGCTCACATGGTTGCTCTTCTAAAGATGCTTTACTTTCCTGGCTGTCCTCTAAGGGCTGCAGAAAGGCTCAGATGCAGTTTTGAAGATGTAAGCAAATAATTATTTACCTCTGGCTTCCCACTGCTGCCCAACAGCCACTTCTTCTGAGTGATGGCCTCAGGCTGTACCAGGGGAAGTTCATGCTGGATATTAGGAAAACTTCTCCAAAAGAGTGGTGATGAGTGGCACAGCTGCCCAGGGAGCTTGGTGCACCTTGGGGTGTTCCAGAATCGTGGCGATGTGGCACTGAGGACGTGGCCAGTGGGCAGCATTGGTGGTAGATGGATAGTGGGACTTGATGACCCTAGAGTCCTTTCCAACCTTAAAGATTCTGTGATTCTTGGAAAAATTATGTTCAGCCTCTTCATTAATTTATGCCATCCCTGAGCCAGCCCTGCCGCAGGAGTCCTGTAGCTCTCAATTTCTCTCTCACTCAATTTTTGTGCTCTAAATTGTCCAAATTCAGTGCTGAACTCAGTAGGGACACCCTGCCTCATTCCTCCATGCTGGGGAGGAACTTGAGGCAGATTTATGTGTCCTAGCAGCTATTTCCAGTCCATCCCTTGTTCACCACGCTGGTACCTTGTGTTCTCTTCCCTCTTTTACAGTAATACCATTTTGCAAGCAGAAAGGGCTAGTCATGAGGATGTAGACAGCTTGCCTCATCAGCCACAAGATCTTCTTAATTTTGCTGAGATTAAAAACCACCCAACATACTGTTTTGTTTGACTCTACGTGCCAGCTCAGACACTCCATCAATCACATTAACACGAGCCAGAGGTGTCTGAATACCTCACAACTGGCACACAAATACTTGCTGAGCTCAGCTGCAAGATGCTAATCACACACGTGTGTGTTGTTTCTGTATGGTGGCAACTGTTCCTCAGCTAATCAATTATGTTAATAGCCCTCATAAATAATTTTCTTCTTTGTTGTGGTTGGATAGGGGTGTGAATACAACTTGCCTCACATGCTGATGTGCAAGGCCATTCATCTGGCACAAACAGGGGCACGGCTCTTAAATCAGATTTATCTTGTGTAAACTGGGGATAATTCCATTGATGAAAATGGGAACGTTTTCATTCATTTATCACCCATTGTAGTTTTGTTTTTTTTTTTTAAGTTTTGTGGCTTTTCTTCCTCTTCTGCCTATTCTTGTCTTCTCCAAAACGCTGCCATGGCATGCAAGTCATGTGGGTGCTGAGCCAAGTGCCAAGTGTAGGAAGTCTGCTGCTCTGAAACACCACCCCTGGCTGCAGGCCAGAGCTGGATTCCTGCTTTCATCATTGATTTCCCCTGCAAGCATAAGGCAGTGACTCACTCTTCTCACACCTCGCTTCACACAGAGCAGCAGAGGGGTGATGATGACATCTTTGTCTCGCTTGGGTGATTCAGATGTGATGCAACCTCTTGGGACAGGGAATCTCACACTGCTCCAGCCCAACCTGTGACCTGCATAGCTGCGGCTGGCAGTTTGGCCATTGGTCCCTCCTGGCTCCAGGGATGGACTTGTCTCTACAGGGTTTTGCAGATGGGAAGGCAACCAGCCCAGTTCCTAGAAAGACCCCATTAATAGCACAGGTAAGGCTGATGTTTAACTGTAATCAAGATCCAAGCAGTTCTTGGAGCTGTGGTGCCTGCAGAACAGCAGGCTCAGGACCACAGCCATAGGCACGGTTGGGCCCACAAGACCTGGAGATATGGCAGCATCTCGAGGCAGAAAACCATTCCCATCCCCTGGCACTGCACCTAAACAGGCAGATGCAGTATGCACTGTTCCATGGGGATTTGGGGTGTTGAATGATCTGTTTGGGAGTGCTGGGCTCCTCGTGTCACATTGAGAAACAGCTGCCAGAAGCATTAACATTCCCAGCTGATCCTCTGGGATGGCAGAAGGCTCTGTTCTTAGTGATAGCCTGTGCACCCAGATGTGAGCACATCAGCAGCACTCAGCTCACTAACAGTAAACCTGACAAGAGACAGCTCATGAGCTCAGTGCACAGGGATGCATTCATCACCCCTTCCTACTGCCTCCCTCTGTGCCCCAGCACCTCGCTGTGCCCAGTCCCTGTCCCTTGTTAACCTGGAGTTCCCACCAAAGCACAAAGGCTGTGTGCTTTTTTATTGTTTGCTTCTAAACTCCATAAACATGCCTCATTTCCCAGATGGCTGTTTTGACTGGCCAAGTGTTGCTGCTATTTGGACAGCAGGGTGCTTCTTTGAAAACGTGAAGTATTTGGATGAGCTATTCTGGAGTGGTGAGCTCAGATCTGATAGCCTGGGCCACTTTTAAATCCTGTTTGCCTGGGATTTTCACACTTATCCAAGAACTCGGTGCTGGATCTAGGACATAGCAGAAAGTGCATCCAGCAGCCTCCCAGTGAGTCAGGCTGAGCTGCACCCAGATCTTCACACACAGCTCTGGCTGGGAGGAAGGACCTGAGCAGCACGGAAGGAAAGTAGATGAGAACAAGGGGTACGAAGGTACAGAATGGATGATGAACTTCGGATGCTGAACTTTCAGTTCCCCAAAAGGCCCCAGCAAGTGGAGCTGCTCGGAGCTGTTTCTCTTTTCCAGGCAGAGTAAATCAGGATGCTTCCAGATGGCAAAGGGGGAAAGGTCTCATTGGAAGACATCCATCCAGCCACACACTCCAGAAAGCCACTGCTGTTGCGCAGTACAGGAAGCCAGCACAATGTGTTTGCTCCAGGCACATCTCACCAACAACCTGTGCTTCTCCTGAGCTCCCATCCCGCCCCACAGAGCTTCAATCAGCAGGTTTGTATCAATGTTTGGGTGCTCCTGGACCATGTCCTCCTGCTGCAGCAGGCTTTAGGGGTTGGGGGATCCTCTGCTCCCTGCACACAGCCTCCATTGCGGCTTTGGCTTTATTCCTTCTGCAGTAAGATTCTTGGCCCCATTCTCTCCCTGCTCATTCCCTGGACCAGCAACTCTTGGCCCAAGCAGGACTGGGAGAAGAACTGAAAAAAAAGTAGGGTCACTGCTTTAGAGGGTTTGCAGGTGGGATAAGCAGAAGCAGGAGGGACTGTTTGCATGCATCCCAATTAGAAACAGCACAACGGGGAAGAAGAAACCACAGCAGCATTTGCAGAAACGTTTCATCCCTGTAACCAGCATGGGCAGAGAACAAGAAAATCAACTCTAAAGTGTCCTCCAGGAAACCAACATTGGCAAAATTCAGCAGAGTAGCACTTAATCTCGGCTGTACTGTGTCATTCTTGCATTCCATTTCACAGTCTTATTTTATTCTTGTTAAAAGAATAAGAATAATAATAGAATAAGGTAGGCATGGGAAAATACGAGCTAGCTGGGGGTTATTTCTGTGAACAGCTGTAGAAACAGGTTTTAACACACAGTGAAAGCAGATGAGATCATAACTTTTAATAGGAACATATTTAATAAACCAAAGGCGGAGAGGAGATGATCCATTGCCTTTACCGAGAATTATTCATTACGATTTATATCAAGGAGGAAACAGCACTTTCCTAGAATCAATGCATCCTTAACAGCAGGTTAAAAAAAAACACGGGAGTAATGATTTTCTGAGCGCTCTCCTTTGACAAAAGCCATGGCAGCCCAAGGAACATCAGCCATCCTGCTCCCACTGTGCTCCCAGCCCAGCCCTGCCCTACCCTGGAGGAGCTGAGCAAGGAAGCACCAGGGCTCCTGCACCGACTTGTGCCAAGAGCAGCAACAGGACTGCAGCCCAGCCTGCTGGCACAGCTTCACCCCTGGAAAACACCAGGAGACGACGCTGGTCTCTGCCAGGGGTGACTCCCGAAGCTCTTGTGGCCCTGAGCCTTTGCATTCCTATTCAGGGAAAGAGATTCTGCATGTGGGAATGAGGTAGCGGTGAGGAGAGGCTGCCTGAAAACCTTCAGGTGGGACAGCGAGGAGAAGGGATGTGCAGGCAGCAAGAGGAATTACCCCAGTGATACAGTGCATTCCTGGGACAGCCGGTGCCAGCCAGCCCTGAGCAGTGCTGGTCTGTCTCAGCACAGATCTCAGTGCTTCGCTCAGCACTGGTACCTCTGGTGGGGAGAATTCTGCTGTTAGAGGCTGCTCACGGGGCAGGACCTACAGGGCCGGCATCTGCCACGCAGCATGAGTGCCCCAGGCTCATTTTTGAAGCAGCCCAGAGCAATTTCTCCATAATGTTCCATTAATGTGACAGCTAAAGCCCTGGCCTGCTGTAAAAACATCACTCCCATTTACATTAATTGCGACCATTTTCATGCAATTTGCTTCCAAATGTGACCAACCGCAGCTTCAGTGGCTGTGAGCTGATGAAGTCCCATTGAAGTTCATCACATTTATCACCCTCTAGCCAGGGTACAGTTATTACACTGGCTAAGGACGTGGCTCTGCACCGTTCCCTTTCAAGGTACTGACCAACACCTGGACATTTTTGCTACAGTTATTTGGTATTTGTGGAATCATAGGATGGATTGGGTTGGAAGAGACCTTAAAGATGGTGTAGTTTCAAATCCCCTGCCATGGGCAAGGACATATTTCACTGGTATTTATCATGCAACCATCATCTCTTTAAACACAAATCGTTTCCATACTGGGGAAATCTTAAGAAAAAGGCATTTTTCCATGTGCCTCATTCACAGCTCAGGGTCCCTGAGGGTCCCAATCATCCTGCTGCCATTGATGCAACTTTCTCCTTGTTTCAGCCTGAAAGAAATATCCTGCAGCCTGGCCATGTAACAGCACAAGGTGTCATTGGGAGAGTACTTCCCTTTCCATGCAGCTGCTGTGATCTCCCTTTCATTACTGGAAGCACTGCCGTGCCTTATGAGCCATCGTTCATCAATGGAAATGAATCTGGAGTTACAACAAAACCAAAAGTCGGAGTCATGAGGCAAATGTCCTCAGCTCATTGGCTGCCTGATGGCATTGCAGCGTGAGTGAACTACAGCTGGGATTCCTTCCTGATAAAGAGCTGCATCACATGAGGCTATTGCACACACATCAGTAGTAGCCAAGGATGTCGAATGAAAACTTTCAGCTCGCACATTTAAGGATCCAAATAGTGCTTTAGGAATCAGGCAAAAAAAAAAAAAAGTATTTCCTCTCCTGAAGTTGGGATTTCTCACTCGTGGTGAGACGTGACACCAGATGCCGGTGGGAAGGAGTTTGTACCACATTCATTTCATGCTCCATGGGTGGAGACTCCACCTCTCACCCAGCTTGGTGCTGGTGCATACTGCTTGCTGCTGATGCCCACACTGGGGGAAAACACGACGACAGCTTGGACAGAAAATGCAGATTTGCATTTGCAAGTTGTTTCAGCAGCCAGTTTTAGTTTGCATCGTGAACTCGCTGGAAGTTGGACGGCAACCAAGGAGACAGAGTGGGCAGCGGGTAGAAGGCAAAGAACTGCACAGCACAAACCTCCTCCTGCAGGAAAACAGTGCTGTGAAAAAGAGGCACAGCTGCAAGAAAATTGGGCTGAGTAATGAGGGCTGGGAAAGGCACCGCCAAACCGTGCTGGGGGGTTTGCCATGCAGTGTTGGTGATCACCTTCACCTCTGCATGACTTACAGATGCCAGGCCCAGTTCTTCAGAAACCTGTTGTGTTTTTTGCAACTGCTGCATCCAGGCTGGTAAGAAGAGCCCTGCGCAGCTGGTGGCATCGGCCTGCCACAAAACAAGACTGGCAAAGAGGTCGTCAAGGTGCTACGTGCCAGTCCCACCTGAGGAATGTTTGATTCAGCAGGAATCCCCCACCGCTGATGCCAAGAATGAAGCATCTGGAAAAACACCGCGCCAAATTTGGCTCCAAAACGCCTTCTCCTGTCTGGTGATTGCATTCTCAGGCAGCCCCACCAGCTCCAGCACACTGCCACCATCCCATTCCCTGCAGGCCGGGCATTGTGAGGACAGCTTTGTTTGGAGTAGCTGACATTTGCTGACGCTTCCATTCCTGGTGACGCCAATGCAGTTTTCCATCCCGGCCTGTTTGTGGCTGCTGTTCAGAGCTGAAGTAAACAGCAGCAGCCCCGTGTTTACAGCTGCACGCTGTGCCTTTCGCTGCTGCCACATCACAAGGCAGTGTGCTGGGGTCATGGGAAATGTCCGTAGCTTTGAGAGCTTTGAGGGGCATTAGGTTGTCTGGAGGATGCCCAGGGATTAACATGAGGACAAGGTATCTTGGAGGTGCTGGCAGTTATTGGAAAGGAAAGAAGAAAATGAAGAATCTGACCTTCAGAAAAGCTCAGGTCTCCCATCACCTCTGATCATCACCATGGTTTTCCCACAATACCGGAGTGCTGGGTGATGAACTTTACACTAATCATTGCAATTTATATCAGGATGCTCAAGGCAAAGTGCTGAGCTCTTATGAGCATGATTTACCACTTACAAAGGGGCTGAACTGTTCTGAAAACCATATCCAGATTTTGGATTTCAAATACTAGAGCTCTTAATCCAGTTTCTGAGCTCATCATGAATGGAAACGAGCCATTTTTGGAAGGGAAACTTGGCCAAGGCTTTCCTCCTCTGCCTTAGGAGTAGAAGCTGCACTCACTGCTGACACCAACAGACCTATACTGGAGATCAACAAAATCTGTTCCCAAAGCACCAAGCCATGCATCAATGGGACCAACGTGCACAAACACCTTTGTCTCTGCAGAACAAGGAGCTCAGCTCTCCCCTCCCCACAGTGTTACATCATCACACTGCTCTTAGTGTCAGTTGGGATGCTCTTCCCCTATTTGCACTTAGCAAGAAGAAAAACAGATTTGAATCACAGGATCAAAAATAAGCCTTTTCTAACAATAGCTCTATTTCAGTAGCATACTCACTGCCCATCCAAAACAAAATCTGTTTGCTGACCGGTAAGCTCTCTCCTGCACAGCTATCCCCCACTGCTCTTCTCTGGCAGCCTGGCTGTGAGCTCTTGAGGTGGCCTTCCTTTGGGAAAGCAGGCATTTAGTCCATGCTGTAGTGGCCACATGGCTCCTTGTAACAGCTCTCGTTACCTTCGCTCCAGGGATATCTTCAGGAGCCATAGGAGGGCACGAGAATGGATGCATGGGAACACACAGTGAGCAGAGTTGTTCTCCCATCCCAGACCTGGCGGTGCCCAACATGCAGAGGTGCACAGTGCAGGACAGAGCTCCAGGGCCACCCTTTTCTCTTTAGCTTAGCACCATCTAGAGGGATGTGCCTGCACAGCCGGGACAGCGGGACACACCAGTTCTACGGCACGCTTTGGGCAAAGGGCAACACCTACCTTCATTGGTTTCGGAGTGGGAGAAACCAAAGGCTTGGTAAGCAAAGCTTTGGAAGAGAAGCTCAACCCTCCAGCTCTCCTTGCTAAAACACAAAGCAGTGTTGCAGCCATTCGCTCCTGTCCTGACAAAGCCTCTGTGATGGGAGGATGTGTCCTCCAGAAGGGAGTGATGGCTGTGGGTTTGGGGCAGGACTGGGGGCAGCAGCAGGAGGATGTGTAGGGTTTGGATTTTTTCCTTGACTTTAATTTTACCACACTTACAGATCTTGCATCACGCATTCCTGGAGGCTCCAGTGCTGTCTGGTGATGTGATGGGGAGTTATTATTAAGCATTAAGAGCAAAGATCGTGGCCCATGCTTTTAAGAGTTGGAACTTGATGATCCTTGGGGTCCCTTCCAACCCAAACCATTCTGTGATTCACGTTCATTCATGCCCTTGCTTTTCACTGGCACTGCACAAAAGCACAGCAGGGCTCCCGCTGATGTAAAGCTCTCTGTGCCAAATTACAGCTTTCAGCCCTGTGCATCAGAGCTTTCTCAAACCTCCCAACATGAAACACCGGAACAAGACCACGTGATGTTATCTCCTTTCTATCTCACACCATAAATCTTGCACTTTCTTCTGCAGCAGCCCAGGCCATGGGTTTGCAGTGCTGTGAGATGCAGTGCCTGCTTCCCATTAGCCCCGAGGCAAGGTCATTGAGGTAGGAGCTCAATTCATTGAGGAGCAATTGGAGATAGGAAGCACATTGCTCCGGCCTAAGGAAACAGGATTCAGAATTCACCTGGCTCTTAGGTCTGCTCAGCTTCCAGCTCCCCATGCTTCAAACACACCATGGAGCCATATTCCATCCCCACAGGAGGAGGAGGAACCGGGCTGCAGGGATGCAAAAATGCAGAGGAGAGTGAGGCAGGCAGGCTGGGAAGGACAGCTTTGCTGAGCCCCAGAGAAAATGGTTTGAGTAATTATCAATGGTAAGGAAACCTCAAGAGAGCATAAGTGGGATTTCTGCATGGCAAATACGCTGCATATTTTATGGCCTCGGCTTGTCTGGAGAGAAAGTCTGATCATGGAGTGGCTTGAATCACAGCCAGGATACCGGCCCAAGCACCACTCCTTCAGCCCATTAGATGAACTCCATTTCTTCTGTTCCTTTTGGCTGCACCCTATCACAGACTCAGCATCTCCTGGCAGTCCCTCCCAAGCAGGGCTCCCATCTCATGGAGGTGGGCTCTGGGCAGCATGGAGAGGGCCGTTGGTACAACCCCTGTGATGCACTGCTGCCATTCGCCAACTGTTGTCCCCTTCCCCTCAGCCCAAAGCTACATGGCCCAGCAATTGGGAACTCTGTGCTGCCAGCAGCATCGAGTGCCACCGCTCAGCCCCACGGAGCAGCCCACAGAGTGATTTATTCTGGGGCAAAAAGCAGGGCCATGCAGCCATACCCCACTGTGGCACTGATACCCCCCAAGCAACGTCTTTCTAGGAGGACCTTTGTGACTTCACATCACCTGGCACTCTGCTGGTAACAGAATGCACTGCCAGGTACCAGGGAGCTGTGTGCCTGGGGGTCCTGTAAACTCTCCAGAATATGACATTTCCCATAGAATAACAACTGTATCTTTGGGAGGGGGGAAGGGATGTCTCTCATCACTGATGTTTTAATTACGAGCACAGGAAGGAAAAGTGAGGCATTAACCATCTGCCTTGCAATAAGGCCAGAGCATGGTAGGTGCCGGGGTGCATTAGCAAGAGGAATCAAACTCCTCCTTTGATTAAAGCTAAGTTTTTCTCAACGCTTAACACCAGTTAATTGCTAGGTGCTTACTGCAATTAGGGAAGCTGTCTTAGCTACCAGTAACGAAGGGTCCATGGCACCCCCCTGTCACTGTGGATAGCCCTCCCTGGTGATGCCATGTCCCTCTCTGGGATGTGGGGGCAACAGTGGTGTCCAGAACACAGCATGGGAGCTGCTGAGCTTTGTCTCCTCCTCAGGCTCTGCTGGAGAGTCCTGTGCTCTAAGCCTGGCCTGATTCCCTCATGCTGACCCAGCAGGAGGTTTTCCAAGCAGCACTCCATACCAAGAAGCACTTCACGTGGCTAATGCACAAGCCATTGCATCCCAGCAGTGAATCCAATTTGTATACTGTGAAAACAAACTGTGCTCCCACTGACTTTGCATTCAGACTGCTTCCAAGAAGGTAAAATCAGCCAAAGCACAGAGTCTGAGTGCCTGGTTCGTACCACCCCTGTGCACAGCGAACCGGTGACACCCCGCTGCTATGGCTTGTGGGCTTACAGCACAGCAGTAACGAATGCATGGCAAGTTTGCATGCTTTATTAGAGTCCTATTTCCACTCCTTCTTCCAGAGTCCAGGATGAGTGGTGACAGCCTTCTCTGCCTCTTCACACTGCTGTGCTTGCCCTTCAGCCTCCCGCAGCCCTCTGCCCGGCAGCCAGCAGCGCCCTGTGCTGAGCACAGAGGCTTGGATGAACTGGCATGGGCAGGGCACACTGCTGCCCTCCATGTGCCCAGAGAGCACAGGACGGGGCAGCCGGCCACTGACCAGCAGCCGCACGTAGCAGGCACTGAAGATCACCAGGAGCTGCTGGGCCATCACCTGGAACGAGCACGAGAGTCAGTGTCTGCCTCATTCAAACACTGCTCTTGTCCAACAGAATCAGGACAGAAGCCAAGGACGGATACATAACTGTTCCACATCCCCTTCTGCTCAGCAGTGCTGTCACGCTGTCCCCAGGACAGTGACATGCCAGGCTGGGGGCAAGCAGCAAGGCCAGCCCAGGGCTGGGATGGGGTGGCTGGGAGCCAGGCTGCTCGGGGACCCTCCTGTTCTGCCATCACCTCCTCTTGGGTGTTGGTTTTTTTTTGCCATCAGATGGCTGGAGAGCTTCTACCAACAGGGATGTCACCTGCACTAAATTCATTTAGTAACAGCAAGCAGAAAACTGAGAAATAAATCAGAATAATCTCTTTTGAAGCTTCTTGCTGAGTGGAAATGAGGACACATTTGTCACTCAGCATGGCACGAGTGTTTGAGGGCATGTTCCATGGAAGAGCTGAGGGCTCAGCATGGCCATACTCGGCCCAGACATGGGCACCAGGTCCTAGCAGACATCTACTTCCAAATAGGGACCAGAAAGAAACGTCTGACCCATAACAGACAGCATCAAGGCCATAAGCATGAACTGCTTAGTACTGTCAGGACTGGATAAGGCATGAGGGGACCTCTAGGTCTGCAGCTGTTCTACCCCATAGGTGATGTCTACTGGGACGAACTTTGGAGGCAACCTGCCCAGGAGGTGCTCTGCCCATAGGAGGGTATTTCTCATTACCTCTGGGGGGCCCTCAGGGATGAGGTGGAGCAGCTCATTGCACATCATGGACTCTTTCTTGAAGCTCTCCCCACCGGATAGGAGAGGTGATTCCTCGCACGAAGTGTCCTCTGCTGCAGGAACAGCCACCTCCATCACCACACAGAGCTGGTCCAGCCTGTGCCGCCAGCCCAGCTGCAGGAGAAGGACAGTTTGGGGGATGCAAGGAGACAAAGAGCATGATTTCCTACCAAAACTATCCTCCCAGGAGTCAAGAAAAGTACAAGATTTGGGGGTTGTACCCCCTCACCTCCTGTCCTGCAGCCGCAACTGGCCAGTAGAGTTTAGATATCTATGCACCCACAAAAAGGAAGAGACTTTCCGAAGGCCAAGAGGACAAAATTCCCATCCAGGTACCCAGTGCGGTGCTTATTTATTCCTCAGGCTATCTCATTATTTCAAGAGGACAGCTCAAGGTGTCAGCTATTTCAGACAGTAGCACCTGCCTTCAGCATTTACCCTTGGCGACTTTGCTTTACCGAAAGTTGCGCAGTCGATCACCCAGCTATGCTCACACCACAGGTCCTAAATAAATTCCTGCCGCACTGGGCACCAGTTGATGCAGTTTGTCCACCTCCCAGTTTGCCCAGCTCCCAGTTTCCAGCACAGACAGGCCATAGGGTGGCCGTGCCACCACAGGCTGTGCCTGCTGTCATTTACCTCTTGTGCCTGCCGCAGCTCTGTGATGTGGGCTGACAGGGACTGAAGGCAGCGCTCGGGGCTGAAGTGCACAAACCACAGCTGGGACGAGCAGGTTAAGAATCATAGAATGGTTTGAGTCAGAAGGGATCTTAAAAGCTATCAGGTCCCACTCCCTGCAGTGCTCAGGGACACCCACAGCTCCAGCAGTGCTCAGAGCCCCAACGGCCTGACCTTGGCTGTCTGCAGGGATGGGGCACCACCAGCTCTCTGTGCAACCTGTGCAGTGCCTCACTGCCCTTCCTGTAAAAAACTTCCTTATATCCAATCTAAATCTCCCCTCCTTTAGTTGGAAACCATTTCCCCTTGTGTCACAACAGACCCTGCTGCTTCCTGAGAGCAGAGACACTCAGATGCTGCTAGCTTAGCTCCTCTCTGCAAGGAACAACACAACTGGGACTCCACTTTTCTGTGGTTTGTTTGTTTTTGCCATAGGCACACTGCTGTGATTCTCATAATAAGACTCATCATTGCCATGTAAACGTAATACAATTTCAGGAATAATTGTCTGCCCCAAGGACTAATTTCACTTCAGTCGTTTGGACTCTTGCCAGTGGCCTTTGGGTATATCTCAATGCCTATGGATGGGAGAAGAAAAATACCCACTTCTCCACGCCGTCCAATAGGAAGAAAACAACCTCAGAAATCTCACCCTGTGTAAAGCCTTATGGATCACTACATCAATAAACATTCTCCCTATCACAGAATCACAGTGTGGTTGGATTGGACCTTAAAGATCATCAAGTTCCAACCCCACCGCTATGGGCTGTTTGCCCCTCACCAGATCAGGCTGCTCAGGGGCTAGGAAAAATTCTGCACAGAAAGGATACTTGTAGGATGCTGTGTGGCCCATCCAGGACATCAGTAATCCCCAGAATTAAGCTGTGTTTGATAAAGAATTCATTGACAGCTGCCAGCCGCACGTCTGTATTCATATTTATCTAGGAAAGAATGCAGGAAAAAATAACTTGCTCTGTGGCAAAACTTGGCCCAGCTCAAGGCTGCTCACCACCGTGGGAGTGGGAGCTGTGCAATGGTTGCTTTTTCCCAGCAACAGCAGGTGCTTTGAGCACCCTTTCTTACTTTCACACATACTTTCTAGGCATTATGACACCCAGCTACAACATCCCTTGCCTGAACCAGATCTCTGAGCCTGCTCTAAAAATACTCTGTCCTCCCCCTGCTAACCATCATCCCCATATGTCTCTAGGAGATAGAATCATAGCATCGTAGCATGGCTTGGATTGCAAGGGACCTCAAGGTCATCAAGTTCCAATCCCCTGCCACAGGCAGGGCCACCAACCTCCAGATCTGGTACTAGAGCAGGCTGCCAAGGGCTCCATCCAACCTGGTCTTGAACACCTCCCAGGGATGGAGCATCCACACAGAATCATTAAGATTGGAAAAGATTCCTAAGGGCACCAAACGCAATCCCAGCCCATCCCCACTAACTGTGTCCCTCACTGCCACATCCCCACGGTTCTTCAGTGCGACACCTCCAGGCATGGTGACTCCACCACTCCCCGGGCAGCCTGTGCCAATGCACCACTGCTCTTCTGGAGAAGAAAAGATTCCTAACATCCAACCTGAACCTCTCCTGGCACAACTGAAGGCCATCACCTCTCATCCTATCACTGCTACATGCGAGAAGAGGCCAATCCCCACCTCACCACAACCTCTTTTCAGGGAGTTGTACAGGGCAATAAGGTCTCCCCTGAGCCTCCTCTCCTGCAGACTGAACAATTCTCTCAGACATTCCTCATCAGATTTGTGCTCCAGGTCCTTCCCCAGCATTGCTGCCCTCCTTTGGACGTGTACCAAAGCTGCAGATCCCAGCACTTCAGTGGGAGGGAACTCATTCCCCATGCTCACCTTTCTCTGGCGGTGGTCGATGACCAGGATCACAACCACAGTGACAGCCACAGCAGCCAGAGTCACCAGCACGCTGGCCTCCCAGTAATGCCCAAAGGAGCACAGCTGGACCGTGGTGTAAATGTTTATCCAGAGAGACATGTAGAAAATCTGTGAGAACCCAGAGAGATGGATGGCTCTTGTAAAACTTCAGAAGCAAGAGAAGTCAAGGGAAGAAGAGACCTTGCCATAAATTAATTGAGTCGTCTGGGATATTCGGAGAGTGAGGGAGGGCATGAGCTCTTTGCAATAATAAATCAAGGAGAGAGGGGTCTAGAAGGACTGAGAACTAGTTTATCATCAAAAGTTACCAATCATCAAAGACAAACTGAATTATTAATGATGATTCATATCTAGGAACGTTTTCAGTTGTGTTCTTCCATTTAGATAAGCTACGCACTCACTGAGGAATATGGATAACGCTTGTGATAGTCCCTCTCTTTTGGAAGCTCCTGTGTCAGAGCACTCAGGGTGGTGAAGGGAGATGGACACTGGGCTCAAGGGGGATGCTAAGGACTGTCAAACTCAGCCTTTCCATTAAAAACAAAGCAAAAGACAGGAAAAAGGAGGGAGCGCCCAGCATCCTTACCACAGCAATGGCTATCTGGAATGCCCTGGAGTTGTAGAAGAGGTAACGCCTCACTTCGGGCTTCAGGACTGCCTCCTCGATCAGCCTCCTCCACTCACCCGCTGCCGCCTGCTCAGGGAACCAGGAGCAAGAATCATGGATTGCCTTGAGTGGGAAAGGACCCAAAGGATCACAGTGTCCAACTCCCAGCTCCACGCAGCACTGCACAACCCTACGGCCTCCCTGAACTCCAGAGCCGTGCCCACTGCCCTGGGAGCTGTGCAGCCCCCACTGCCCTTTGGGGCACAGCCATTCCCCAACCCCACCAGGCCCTCAGCTCCATCAGAACAGCTCCGACAGGTCTGGTGGGTCCCAGCACTGTGTGTGCAGAGGGCACAAGCTCAGACTCCAGCCTCATCCCTACGGCTGTCACTGACCAGAACGCTGCATGCTTCATTTGCAGTGAGCGATGTCTCCCTGCAAAGGGCAGGGAAAGTCATAAGAGAAAAAGCTTGTTTTTATGGCAAAGGACAAGACGAGACAGATTGTCCCAGGGATGTTCTAGCACATTGGAGTGCTTTCATGCTCTTCAGCTGTACCTGCGCTGAATGGGTTTCTTCACGGAGCTTTAAGCCAAGGTGATTACAGTTGTCTTGAAGTCAATGAGGAATAGACTGAAGTTAAACTGAAACAAACCAACTTCACACCCCCCCAAAAAAACAAAAATCTTAAAAAAGCTCCCTATGGTCTGGGTGCAAACAGTGTCAACCCAGCCAGCATTCACTCCAATGGGCTGCCAGGGGGGATGACAGGTGAGCAGCTTACCTGAACCCCCAGGGACTGGAGTTTCTCTGCACAAAGCTCCATGTCGAAGGAGGCAGATGAGCAGGTGTTGTCCATGCTGAGAACCATGAGCACCTGGCCATTGCGGGGTTCTGCAAAAACCCAGAGAGGTCAGCAGCATGGCTTTGGCATGGGTTTAATGCCAGCAGCTCAGAAGCCTGTGGTGAAGGGAAGGCTGACAACACAGACTGCCACGGCGTACTTCGAATGGATGGCATTCCCCTAGAGCTTACACAAGCTGAGCTATGCCAACAGGAAGAAATGAGGGCCAAGAAAGTGGTGTTTTCACATGAGCTCCTATTTCACTGACACGTTTCATCCAGCTTTCCTTCCTCTCTGCAGCTCTGGGGATAGCCCATGCCTTGGGGCTGCTTCTATGGCACAGCACAGTGCTCCCCCAGGCTGCTGTGCTGGCCCAAGGGCAGTGTGCACTCCCCTTTCCCTTCTGTCCTGCTTTCATCCTCTATCCTCATCATCTCTTCACTGCTCAGGTACAGAAGGTGCCAAGTTAACTGAGGCAATTGCACTACAGTAGGGTGTGACTGCCTGAAGTCAAGAAGGGAAGATGCATCCAGAATCCCCAGGATAATAATGTCCTACTTTTTTTGCTGAAGTTAATCCCCGGATTTAGCAGTGGAGGTGATGAGTATGAAGAAAGAATGAAAGCAAATGGCCTTAGCCCTTGGGATGGGCTCTCCTGTTCTCCATGGCTTTGGTTGAGGTGCTTGGCGTAAGACTATGCCAGGGTACCGAGTTCAGATACCCAAAATATGCAGAGGAGCTCAGGTTGTGACCTCTGCTGGAGCAACAAGAGCCGCTTCAGTGCTGTGAAAGCAGAGCACAGGAGGTGCCATGAACAGAACTGCTGAACACTCAGTGCAAACAAGGCCATCCATGGCACTGCGTTCAGCCCCTGCTTCAGAAGCACTGCTGCGGAGGCAGCACTCAGTTAATGGGCAGGAGAGGCACTCAGAAAGCACAGGTCAAGCTTCCCAAAGATTTCTTCACTTGCAAAGAACAATTTAAGGTTTTGCTTGGCGCTCTGCTCAGCGCTGCATTCCTCAGTCACCAGCAAGCTCACAGACCCGCAGAACAGCTGAAGTTGGAAGAGAATCTTGAAGGACTTTCTGGTCCAACCCTGCTCACTTACCTTTCACCCACTGCGGGGATCCTTCCTTCGAATCACTCTTACAATACAGGACGGAGGAAAGCGAGCTGTTTTTCTCAATCCCACCATCCTGGCTTTTATGGGCCATGCTGAAGGCACCGCTCCTTAAGAACTTTGTGCCGTAGCGTCAGCAATTCAGCGTTTCTTGGATCTCCCTTATCTCACAGCACCAGGCAGCAGGCAGTTCGCTCTCCTCACAGGGGACCAGGCTGTGAAATCCTCACTCAGACTCCCACTGGTGACTTCCTGGAGATTCTGCTTTCCATGAGCATGGCAGCGTTTTCTAGCCCCGAAAAGAGGAAGGAGAAGAATTCAAAAATCTTGCAGAGGCAGCAAATAAAGGGTGAGAGCGCTGAGCTCTCTGATATTACCACCATGCAGGTGCTAACAGTGCAATATGCACAGGCTTTCCTCTTGCTTATTTGGATTACAGGAATACTCTATCACAGGAAGGAAATGGTGCAGATAAGGAAGAACTGTGCACCCGCCCAAGCAGAGGAGAGCAGCAGCAGAGCAGGAAGCAACGTGGGGAGCTCTGCTCATCTTCACCCCCACAGCAGCTGCCGTTCCCATGGGTTTTCCAGGGAATGCTGCAAGGATCTGCGGGTGGTTATGCAAACCAAGTGCATGGAAGGCTTTGAAGTTTACTTATCTTCCATTCTTGCAACTCTGCTGACAAAGCTATCATTTAATTTTAAGCTTAACTCCACCTTTTTGCACCAGGAGGTTGGTTTGGGGATCCCTCATCACAGAACAGTTGAGGTTGGAAGGGACCCCTTGGGATCACCCAGTCCAAACCTCCTGCTTCACGCAGTCAAATAGAGCACACTGCCCAGGATCACATCTCAGCAGCTCTCCTTCCAAAAGGACTGCTGCTTTTTTTGTTACTCGTGGTTGTAGCTGCAATCACCCCTTTGCACAAAGCCAGGATAGCCTGGACCGTCAGAAGGAAATTGAGGCAAGGGAAGCAAAACTAAAGGTTTGTATGGTTGCAAAGAAGGAACAAAATAACTGCAAAGGCTGGAAACTCAACACTTAAAGAAGCCAAACATGGTGCACTTTGCATAAGAGATGTGTGTTGTGCACAGGGATGGCCTCAGCACCCACTCAGTGCTGGAGACAGAAGGGAAGCCTAATTACAAGCCATCACATTAAGTTAGAGCTGAAGCAGTGCCCTCTGTCCCAGGCACCCATGCTGAGTTCTGTGGGAGCATCCAGGGCAGCTCTACAGCTACAGCCTTTCCCAGCACAGCCGAGCCCAGAGACAACAGCAGCATTGCTTTAAGCCATTTGTGCAGCACAGACCTCACTTGGCTCCGTTGCCTCTTATAGCTCCCGTGCATGGAGCTTGGCCCCTCAAAGCCTTCCCCGCCTGCGCTCCCCAGGGCTCTGCATCTTTGTGCACCTCTTATTTTAACACAAACCCGTTCCCTTTGCCTTCTTGCCCCTACAGACCTCTCCAAGCCCCAGCCAACCTAGCCCCATTGCTGCGTCCTCGCTGCGGAGAGCCCACCAGAGCCATACCTCATCCAGCCGTGCTCCTGGGGTGCAGACTCTGCTCCCTCCTCCTCCTCACTGCCCCGCTCCGCCCATCACTGTGCCCTGCAGGTTGGGGAGGTCCCACTGCTGGGATGCACAGCGCAGGCGAGCACCCGCAGCTCTGCGCTCCCATCACCCCGCGCCACAAGCACTGACTTGCAAAACCTCCCCTGTGCATGTGACTTTTCCCCAGGGTTCGTTTCAGAGCTGTGGTTTTTTTTTTAACCCTCTAGAGTTTCTCTAGGCTGTTTCCCCATCGGGGACAGACTCCGCTGCAGGAGCTCAGGTTGCTTTTTGGAGGGTAGGGGTCCACAGCTGGACTCAAGGAGGGCTTCGGATGGAGCAGTGGCACAGTTGAAGGCTCTGCTCTTCCTTCTCCATCAGCCAGGGTTCAGTGAGTACACATCCTGCACCCTAACCCTAACCCTAAGCTCTGCTCTTCCTTCTCCATCAGCCAGGGTTCAGTGAGTACACATCCCGAAGCTGCATCAAACGAGCCATGGTGAATACTTGAGTCAGTGCCGTGCATCAGCAGCGGGGCTGGAGGAATCCAAAGGGGTGAGCAAAGATCTCCAGGATGATGTTGAGCAAATGGTCACAGCAAGGCACAGAGATAACGGGGTGGGAACTGCAGCCCAGCTCTCAACAGGAGGCTGCTCTGATACTGAGGGAAGAGAAGGTTTCCTGCTGGCTACTGTGCTCCAGAGAATGGAAGCAGGATGGGATTCACAGCCAGATGGACCTTCCCAAAGCACTGTGGTTTCTAGGCCAAAAGAGACAGGTTTGGGAGAAAGCATAAGAGAGAAGGCTGGGGTGCACCTTCCTGGGGCTCACAGAAAAGCTGGAGGGAACCCGAAAGCTGGGAATTCAGTCAGTCAAATATCAGAGCAACTGCTAGTGAACAGTTAAACAAGAGTAACAAATCCTGCCATGCTTCACTGCGCCATGTGTGCACGCTTCCTGGAGAAAAGCCCGCTCCGCTTCGGGAGGGCTGAACTTCTACAATCCTCTTGGCTCCAGACATTGCTGAGCAAAGTGTTCATTAAATCACGTGGCTGCACGGCGAGCAGCACTGCCTTCCAACTGCTGATCCACACGAGATATCATTTCCCTGGGAGCTGGTGGCTCACACATAGCATCACCCAGGTGGTGAAAATATCAGACCCATCTTCTCACCGGCGTTGGTAGCTCGAGGCTCAGCTCCCATCCCCACCCATACCAAGGCTGCATTCTTCTCAAGCACTCCTCACCAGATCTGGCTTTGCTTCCTCCTTCTTGCCCACGCACGGTAGAATTGGGTGATCCAAGTGCTGGGAAAGAGCACCATCATCTCCCTGCAAAGCGCCTGAGGCACAGCTCAGCGAGGGCAACAGGCTTGGGAGCAGCTGCCCTCATTACCTGCTCACACGCACCCCTGGCTGAGCAAGGAGTGCCTCTCTGTGTGCGCTGAGCTTGGCTTCACCCTGTTGTACCAACACAGCCAACCCTGCCAAGGTGGGAGGGGGCAAAAAACAACCCAAGTGCAGCTGTTCTGCTGAGCTCTGCAGCCATCCAGCTCCCTGAATGCTCTCATCTCATTGCAGAACAGCCAATAAAGCATTCAGTGAGTAATCTATTTCAATCAACAGCCTGTATATTTCATACTCGGCCTTGACAACAATCTAGGCATTGCACAGATGTCCCGTAACATTCCTGTTCCTCCTATTAATGGTCCCACCAAAACTTTAGAGCTAAGCAGCCAGGAGATAGAAATTCAGCCCTCTGAATATAAGGAAAGGTTGAGGCTTGTTTAGTTTGGAGAAGAGGAGGCAGCAGGGAGACCTCATTGTGGCCTTCCAATATTTGAAAGGAGCATATAAACAGGATGGGCTACAACTGCTTATAAGGGTGGATGGTGATAGGAAAAGGGGAATGGTTTTAAAGTGAGACAGAGGAGGTTTAGGTTGGATATTAGGAGGAAGTTTTTCCCCCAGAGGGTGGTGAGGCACTGGCACAGGTTGCCCAAGGAGGCTGTGGATGCCCCATCCCTGCGGGCATTCAAGGCCAGGCTGGATGTGGCTCTGGGCAGCCTGGGCTGCTGGTTGGTGACCTGCACACAGCAGGGGGTTGGAACTGGATGAGCACTGTGCTCCTTTGCAACACAGGCCATTCCATGACTCTATGAGAGCGGCACCAATTACTGCAGTTACAAAGCAAACACAAAGTCAATCAGTAAACTAGGAAGGCGTTTGGAAAGCTAGGAACAGGAAGAAGAAATCAGGAACTCTGCCTGTAAAGCAGACGGGGGGCGCTGGCAGCATCCCAGCAGTGCTGCTGCTGCACGGAGCACAGCTGACAGCCTGTGGAGCTGCCCCACCTGCAAAGCAAGGAGCAAAGCCCTGCAAGTAGAGATCTGCCAAAGACGACCACAACGAATCTCTTCCTCACCTCCATCTGCCACAAGACATTTGCATTGCTGTGCTGTGACAACTCCGTTTCAAAAATAAAGCTTCGGCCAGTTCTGTGTCTGGGGGGGGTTTACCCAAATTTTCACAACCTGTACAGAGGTTATCAGCTGCTCCGTGCTCTTCGTTTCACTTTTAGTTCAGTTTTGCACTTCTCTATTTCTGGGAGTTCCATGCTGTCCGTTTTAGATCATTTAGCCCATTTCTCAAGATCATTTTAAATTGTAATTCAACCCTTTGTGCTGCTTATTTCTCTTCCCAGCTTGGTGTCCTGGAAATATAACTGTACTCCCTATTCCATCGTGCTGCATTAATGAATACATTACAGAGAACCCAATTCCAGGAGTGCTCTGCTTGCAAACAGCAGCTGCAGTCCCTGTCATGCAAGTTGCATCCGTGAGCAGCAGCCAACACAGCAGATCTCCTTCTGTTTAATGAAACTGCATTTTCAGCAGGTAGCTGCTCCGTCAGTTTGTTGTTGTTTGGTTTTTTTTACCCCAATGAGCCTTAATTAGGTGAACAGAATTGCTGAGAGCCTCGTCTTGCCTTCCCCCTCTCCCTGCGCACAGCCTTCTTCTGCAGGCTGCGTTTTGTCAGGCAGCTCAGCAAAGCTGACAGATCTGACAGTCATTAAATGCAAAGTCTCCATTTCACAATATTCCTAAAATACATGTTTCAAATGAAGAAAATGACACTTGCATAAAGTGTGGCTCTTTTCTTTCTGCCTTATTCCAGTGGAGACTTCAAGCACTCTGCTTCTTTTTATTATGGTAATGCAAAATCCTTTTTCTTATGCTTCGAATTTAAGGAAAAAAAAAAAAAACAATAAAAAGAATGCTTGCTGTGTGCCTTGGATAACGATTTGGCTATTGATTCAGCAGATGCTTTATTAGATTACTTTGCAACAGCCAAATGTAATTTAATACGTATTTATTTTCTATTCCTATGCCGGTCTGAGATACAATCTTTTCTGCATGAAATTAGTGTTGTCTCCTTTCAGCCTCAAAGAAAGATGAGACTCACCTTTTTTTCTTGGAATATTTGGAACTGCTTTTTTACAGTAAGATGTTGATCTTGAGGGTTCTCAATAGACTTTTCTATTGAGACCTGCAAGCCAAAACCTCAGCTGGAATCAGATGATTCAGGTTTTTCCATATTAATCTGCACCAGTGCAAGAACCTCTGGTGTTGGGCAACAACTGAAGACCACAGCCCACCTGCCCACAGCTGCTACTGCCCAATTCCTCCCAGTTTGCCTGTCCCACACAGGAGGTTCTCTATCTGGAGTACCATAGAATGGCCTGGCTTGAAGAGGATCATCTGGTTCCAACCCCCTGCTGTGTGCAGGTCACCAACCAGTAGCCCAGGCTGCCCAGAGCCACATCCAGCCTGGCCTTGAATGCCTGCAGGGATGGGGCATCCACAGCCTCCTTGGGCAACCTGCGCCAGAACTCCTGCAACAGGCAGCAGAGAGAAGGAGATGCTGACCTTCAGGCTGAGCACTGCAAGCTGAGCAGGGAGCAAGCTCCATCAGCACAAGCAAGCCTTGAAAATTGAACTCAGGCTTCAAGCAGCACAAATGTGTGTCCTAATTGCACCTCGTACTGCAATGTTAAGCTGTCCAGACGACGCTGGTATTTCAGTGCTAATAAACCATTTGTCCATCTGGTGCTTTCCCCATAGTACAGATGACAGATCTTCTCAGCGATGTTTTAGAAATGAAAAACATCAACTATTAATGTAGGCCTGCATGATGTCTGTATGGGAACTGCTGAATCACGGCCTGAGCCTCTGATTGATCACCTGAGGCGAGCACCAAGTCAGCCCTGGAGAGCAGGTGAAGGCAACTCACCTGTGCTGCTGGAAGGGGTGGAGCCTGGCTGCACCTCTCCTAGACCCATTTAAGAGCTGACTGCCAGTGGGGAAGGATCTCTGCTGGAGATCCCTCCTTTGGAGTTTTACAGCGAGCCCAGGACATAGGTAAGGATTCTGTCTGTTCTTTTTTGGTATAATAACTGCTTAGCCAAACTCTCTGGTACGCTTCATAATTGTTAACATCTGTACATTCATTGATTATACAATGTCTGAAAAGGAATCCTACAAAAAAATCCAAGTTCTGACCGTTGCTTATGAACCTGAATGTGGCCATTAGCAAATCATGCTGTGTTAATCTGCTGACGTGCCCATTTCATCCAATCTGAACCATGAGAAAACAGCCAGAGTTACCCACTTGATCCTGCATGACCAGAACAGCACATGCACTGAATGCTCTTTACCTCCATACAGCACCAGGACTGAGCAGGCAATTTGTCCATGTTTCCAGGGATGAGAACTCAAAGTAAAAGAATCAGACAGTTTTATATATGCTTAAAGCAGCTTCTGGGCCCTTTTTGAGGCACAAGGGCAAGGTCCAACTCCTTACACATAGGGTGATCTGCATTTAGGGTCACATCTGCCAGGGACAATGCAGTCAGAGCAGCAGTGGGACTCTGGAGGCAGATCTGCACTAGCAGCTAGGATAGGCCTTGCCCTTCTTGACCAAATTTGTTGCAGAACAGGAGGAAGCTGGAAACATCAGACCACAGAGGTAAGAAACCGAGCAACTCCAGACCTCTGCCAGTATGAAATTGTTCCCCACAGAGCATTGTCAGCAGTCTGGCTTGGGCACATAAGGTCTCCTTTCCCACTACACCTCACTGTAAGATTAAAGAACTTCTAACTAAGAACTAAAGCAACTTACCTAGATCGCAAACAAAGCCAGATTTCCCAGTGAGAAGCAAATGGAAATGCTTTTGTGTGAATTTACACAGCCAGGTAATTCTCAACAGGTAAATTTCAGGGAAGCATTACAGAAAATTGATGTTCTTGCAAGCAATGAAACTTCTGCATGTTTCAAAGGGAAGGTCTTCACGTGCTGTTTTGCCAGCGAGGGAATAATCTGGGGAGAATTTTACACATCCTTTCCTTCTGGATCTTCCTCACTGCGGAGGGTAAGAACAGAAAGTGCTCATTTAACAGAGGGAAGCTTATGAACTGTGAGGAAGTGGAGGCACGCGCTGTGCTTGTTGCAGACAAAGCAAGTCTCCTTTTACTGATAAACAAACGGGATGAAATTGCTAATTACAGCCTGGAGCTACCAGGACTTTCACAAAGCACCAATGTGCTGCAGCCTGACCACCTGTTCTCAACAGGAGGAACTGCTTCAATTCCAAAGGACAGACTAGAATTAGCATGGCTGCAACCTTTTATGAGGCCACAGCCCTTCTCTGGCCGTCAGATGAATCTGATTAAAAGTGCTTTGATTCTGTTCTCCTTGCACAGACCTGGCGTGTTCCCAGCCTGACAGATTCTACTTCACAGGAGCTTCTGATTCACTTTTACAACCCATTTAATAGCCTCAATTCCTGAAGAGATCCTTTAAGAGTTGGAGTATGCTAACATAAAATATGCTAACATAAAAAACCAACAGGAGACAACACAGCGTTCTCTTTTGTAGCACAGCACGACTGCAGGCAGATACTTGTTCCTCTGTTAAGACTTCCATCCATCCTGTTTTCCTCCCTCCCAACTGCAATCTTACCCTGTGGGTCTGAGAGGCTTTTCAGTGCTGCACTGAAGGTCTGCAAAAATCCAGGATGTTTTGACTGAGAAACAGCAGCAAGGCTTCCTCCTTAGACTGGCAACTGCATTAATTGCAGCTCTGATCCACTTTGTGCTGGCTGAGGCCTCTTCTGTGCAAAAAGTATTAAATTGAACTCAAAAATAAGAAAGCAAAGCTATATTTTAATATTCTGCTGGGACAGAATAAACTGCTGAAACACAAAAGCTCATAATGTATTTGTGTGTATTCTTGATTAAAGAGCTAGGAAGTGAGGCATGGACAGCCCTAACACTTATTTCACACTGTTCTGGGAATAGCAGGATGCTACATGACCTTGGTATAAACAAGCAGCCACCAGGGAAGGATAATTACTGCACAGTGCCTGGCTATCAAACTATATTGTTGAACTGGCAACGTTTTATTTCTCCTAATAGTTCAAAGAACATTTGTTCCTGAAGGCTTTTGGAACAACCTGGCAGGTAAAGCATCAGACTGGAGCCAAGAGGAGGAGATCTGTAATGGATTTTAAACTTACCTGCTGTGACCTTCAGACATTTGTTTTATTTCTTGCTTTCTTATTAATACTTGATATTCATTCTCCAGAGCCCAGACTCTTCATGCAACAGTGAGTCCTGCTGGTACTCTCAGAACAATTTTGTTGTTACAAGAAGACTGATTAGAGACTTTTGAGTTAAGTAGAGGTTTTTACTTTCAAGTGTCATAGAGCCAGACCTGTAACTCAAGCTAACAGCAGAATATACAGAGGATATTCAAGACAGAGAAACTCAAGCACCTGAACATCATCAGCCAGCACTGTACAGCCAGAGAATTCTGATGAAGTTTAACCTTGCACAAATGCTAACACCACACTGAAAAAATGCATTTTAGTGAACAAGAATACATAGGTCCAGATTACAGACTCAGGTCAGCTTTCTGCTTCTGAGGACAGCCTTTCTTTGAATACTAACCAGAAAACAGGGAGCATTAATCTGTCAACTTGAATATATACTTAGCACAGATTTGAGACGTGTCCATTTAATGTCTGGATAAGCTCTCAATCTAGAAAGAAACTAACAGAAACCAATGAAACACTGATGACCTACAACTCACTGAAATAATTTAACACCTTTACAAGAAGAACAGTTATGGCTGTGAGCTGCACGTTCCACCTGAAGCTCAAATGTTGCTGCCAGCACTCCTGGTACCCTTCTCCCTCCTTCCTGCACTACCCGTTGATGCGGTAATTCACGTGGATTTCAGGTTTGATGTCACACACCAGAGACAACAGCTGGGAGAGGACCAGCTCACGGTTCTTCTGGAAGTTCTGCTGGATTACACTCATCTTTTCCTGGGTCTCCTTCTCGACTTCGGTCGTACAGCTGCCATGAGATCCAAGTGCCTACAAACAGCAAAGGGAAGAGAAAGCTTACGTGCAAAGAAAACACTGACTGGTTCAATATTTTGGTGCTCTCGACTGCCTTGTTGCATCTCAGCTATGTCTGCTGAGGAAATAACTGTGCTGGAAGAAGTAGGAGCATGCCTGGATTGTCCTCTCAGATTTCCCACATAACATGTCCTAGTTTATCATAACAGCCTACATCTTTCATCTTCTCTTACTCAGTAATTATCATGTTTGGAACATGAGCTTCTGAGGAATGCCTGAAGTTTTAGGAGGAAGTTTTTCACTCAGATGGTGGTGAGGCACTGGAACAGGTTGCCCAAGGAGGCTGTGGATGCCCCATCCCTGCAGGCATTCAAGGCCAGGCTGGATGTGGCTCTGGGCAGCCTGGGGTGCTGGTTGGTGACCTGCACACAGCAGGGGGTTGGAGCTGGATGAGCATTGTGGTCCTTTGCAACCCAGGCCATTCTACTACTCTAAGTCAATACCCTGCTGTACTGGTGATTGAAACTGGGAAGCCCTGTGCACTACTATCATAGATAGCACAAATAAAGTAGCACTTGTGATTTAGTTTAAGCTCAGACTTCAGACCACCCTGGTTACTTCTGTATTTTGAGAATCTTTCAAGAAACCTGGCTCCTAAATCTAATTGTGGTCCAGGTCATGTGCATCCCAAGGAGTCTCTTGTAGCTTACAGTGTCTCCCTTGACCAGTAAGCAAGGGCAAGAGAAGTCCTGTTGTAAGTGGGTGTATGGGAACTGCTGAATCACAGCCTGAGCCTCTGATTGATCACCTGAGGCGAGCACCAAGTCAGCCCTGGGAGAGCAGGTGAAGGCAACTCACCTGTGCTGCTGGAAGGGGTGGAGCCTGGCTGCACCTCTCCTAGACCCATTTAAGAGCTGACTGCCAGTGGGGAAGGATCTCTGCTGGAGATCCCTCCTTTGGAGTTTTACAGCGAGCCCAGGACACGGGTAAGCATTCTGTCTATTTTTTTTTTGGTATAATAACTGCTTAGCCAAACTCTGGTACATTTGATAATTGTAACATCTGTACATTCATTGATTACACAGTGGGGAAAACGTGGGCACAGAAAAGCTGAGCCAAGTAATACCCTGCGACTGAATTCAAAAACTTCTCTGGAGAAGAACAAGTAGAACAGAACCAGCTGTCAAGCAGCAAATTCCACTTTTTAGTTTGGAATTGCTCACTATCACACGCAGAGTGAAGCAAGCTAACAAATGACTTTAAAAATACTAATCTACACTGATTAGCAGGAGAAGTAATTACACAGGAGAACAGAGGACGTGGTGTGCTAACTAGAAGAAGGACAGAGGGCAGAGTTGCTAGATCAATTTCTGAAGATTTCAGAAGAAATGGCAGCAAGTGTACACAGCAAGTGGAAACATTCTACCTGCACTACAGCCCTCACCACGAAAGAGGCCCTTGGTTCTGCACCTTTGAGGGCTCTTCTTACTCAGAATGAAAGGAGAACGGGAAACAGTAAGCAAAACTGCTGAGCGGAGCACAAGCCTTACAACTTCAGAAAGAGCTGTGTCTCCAAAGTAAGTTCCTACCAAGTTAGCATGATGGGAATCTGCTTGTCAGACGAGGAATCTGCTCAGTGTTTTCTGACATTGCTACACAGAGCAGGTCTGAGGAGAGGGAGACCCATCAGGGCACCAGGCAGTATACGAGTTTATTAAGTTAATTCATTGCCAGTTGATATTCCCAGCTCTTGGGATGCAGCACACCGTGCTCTGATTCATTTCCACCGATCTCTCCAACATGTGACCATGTATCAGAAGAAGGGAAGCAGACCTCTGGCAACACGTTCCACACTGAGGGCAGCTCTCAGAGCGAGGGGGCAGGGCAGTAACAGAGAGTGATGTAGTGAACTAACCGCTGCTTCCTTGGCTTTGAATTCCTTCTCCCTCTGCAGGCGGTACTGCTCAATCTCTGCCTGGGCTTCTTCTTTTGCCTGCTTCAGCCTCCGATTCTTTCCTGTTTCCAAAGAACACGTGTATACAATAAAGAAAGCGCTGCCAGCCTGCTTCTCCACGCTGCTCCAGCTACCTGATGCACAGCTACAACCCACCAACCCCACTCAGCAGTGAGCTTCCTCCAGCCACAACTGGAGGCTCATCCAGTAGGCATGTGAGACCACGTACGGATCTGGCTTCGCTCACGCGACCACGCAGCACCTCAGGGTGACCCCAAGCAGCAGAAAGAACGTGAAATCCCAGCTTTCTTTCGCTCCAGCTGTGCAACGGTGAGAAGCGACCGGCTGCCGTGCGAACTTCCCTTCCGAACGTCCCACCGCACCCTGCCAGCGCCACCGACAGGGCCAGCCACAGCGACCGGCTCCTGCACGCTGAGGCCCAGCCCAACGCGGAGCCCTTGGCAGGCCCTGACGCGGCCCGAGCCGGCCTTCCCGGAGCCCCACAAGCCGTACTCACGCTTGCGGGCCTCGGCCACCTTCTCGGCAGCGCGCTTCTCGGCCTGCAGCAGCTGCTGGATGCCCTGCGACTGGCTCGCCATGGCGACCCTCCGCTCCCAGCCGGCGTCTGACGTCACCGTGTCACCGCGTCACGTGACCAAGCCGCCAGACCACGCCTACACCACGTTACGTCCGTTAGACCACGCCCCTTCCGTTTCAAAGCCACGCCCCCTCCCCGCGGCTTTGCGCGTCTGCTTTTGTGCCCCGTTCGCTCTGTGGGACGGACGGAAGATGCGAGGCTACGAACGGATTCCTTTATTTATGTTTTAATGGCGTGGCTTTTAAGCAGTGCGGCAACTCAGCACGCTGCAGTGCTTAAGGTGTGGTTAAAATATCCGTAAAATCTTAGAATGGCCTGGGTTAAAAAGGACCGCAATGATCATCGAGTTTCAACCCCCCTGCTGTGCAGAGTCGCCAACCAAAAAGCACAGCTTAATGCTTAACTTTATAACGAGAGCCCAGCACTGCTGCCCAGAGCTGTGGGTGCCCATCCTTCAAGGTGCCCAAGGCCATGGATGGGCCCTCAGCCTGAGCTGAGGGGGGGCAGCCAGCCCATGGCAGGGGTAGGGCTGGGGGGTTTATGGCTCCTTCCAGCCCAGCCATGCTGTGATGCTGATACAGGGTGCTCTATGCATCCCATTAACCCGCGGGAAGCTCTGGTTCCCTCTGGGCTGAAGCATTTCCTGATCAAAGTAACTGTTCCCCCCCCACTGTGGGGATGGCTATGGCTATGGATGTGGCTATGGCAACCCATAGCCATCCCTAACTTCTCAAGGACACCTGGCAACCCCAGCCTGCCATGAAGGTGCTGGCTTCACCCCATCCCAGCCCTCAGCCATCACATCCCAGTGGCAATATAAAGCCCTGAATGCGATTCCTTGACACTTTTTGGAGCATAAATCACCATTACTGCCAGGGTGGAAGTGGCAGCGCCGAGGCAGTGACTCACATCCCCGCAGGGAGGGATTGGTGGTGGCTGATCCACTGCTCCTGTTCCCCGTGATGGAAGGGACGTGAGACAATGAATCAAATGTGTATTTATAGAGTGGGATGAGAGCGTGACAGGGTGACCTTCAGCAGGGCCTGGAGATTAACAAAGTGGGGCTGTCAGCTCGGCCTAACGCTCAGCTCTGACCATCAATCTGAGTTTATGTTAAGCCTGGGGATGGGCAATGTGTGGAGCAGGACCGGGTTTCTGCAAGGCAGATTGCACCATAGCAGAATGCTTGGATGCCCTGCAGCTCATTGGTTGCAGAAATCAAACCACCAGGATGTAATTTTCCTCCTGGATGATTGGGATTTTCAGACTCGCTGCTCCCAAGATAAGCACACGCTTTTCTGCCACCAGAAATACATCCTGGCCGTAATTGCACGAAGTTTTCAGGGAGAAATCCCTCCACCAGTACAGCTCCGGGTGGGCAGAAACCGCGTGATGAGTTTTTGACAGTTCCACTTTGATGCTTAATGAATGAGGCCACAATAGTTTGCATTTAAAACGACGTTTCCTTTGGTTGCGCTGCTTTTTGTTCCAAATCCAACTGAAGCCTCGTGGTGTGGGTCACATGAAACGCTTGTGAATGTCAGAGTGTGCTGATCCACTTCTCACTTCACACTGCAAACAACAATTTCTGACAGCGAAGGATGGGTTCCCAGCTCTCAGACCTGCATGGGCATTCAGAA